GCGGGTCTCGAACCCGCGGGCTCAGGCAATCCACTCACCTCAGTCTCCCAAAGTGTGGGATTACAGGCTGAGCCACCGAGCCCGGCTGAAACAGTTTCTTTAGATAGCATCTGTTTCTGGTGAAGGTGCTGTGAACACTGTTAATGAATATTACATGAACTTCACTGATAAACAGCAGCAGAACTTGAGAGAATTGACTCTAGTTTTGAAAGAAGTTCTACTGTGAGTAAAATGCTATCAAACAGCATCACATGCTTCAGATAAATCTTTTGTGAAGGAAAGATTTCATAGATGCAGCAAACTTCACTGTTTTCTTATTTTAAGAAATTGTCACAACTGCCCCAACCTTGGCAACCATCACCCTGAACAGTCAGCAGCCATCCACATCAAGGCAAGACTTTCCACCAGCAAAACAATTATGACTGCCTGAAGGTTCAGGTGATCATTAACAATTTTTTTTTTACAATAAAGTATTTTTAATTAAGGTGTTTACATTTTAAAAGACATAATGCTATTACACATTTACTAGACTACAGGACAGTGTAAACATAACTTTCATATGCACTGGGAAACCAAGAAACTCGTGATTTATTTTATTGTGGTGACCTAGAACCAAGCCTGCAGTCTCTCCGAGGCAAATGTGCACCTCAGACAGGGCTCTTTTTTGGTGAGATTTTCCTTATTTTAAACCTGGATAAAGTCTATGGCTCTAAGAATCAAAGATCTGACCAGAATGAGGAAGAATTTTGCTGCCAGTTACTAGAAACTTCTATAAACTACTTGGATAGAAGATCCCAAGACAAACAATGGTAACAAAATTATCCTGCCATTTGCCTGGCACATTTGGAAACTTAATGCTGGAAAATTTGCAGAATTTAACCTGTATTTAGATATTTTATTCAAGATGCAGTTCTTAATCCTGTTAAGTTTATCTCTTTTCTAACCAACTTATAAGACTTTTAAATGAATCTCTGATCACTTATTTTTTCTTTTTAACTGTATTATATTTCGTTTTCCGTAGTACATGGGAAAAAAACTTGTTTTGAACTACTCATGTTGAATTTTTATTTTTCAATTTTTATTTATTTATTTTTGAGTTGGCGTCTCACTCTGTCATTCTGGCTGGAGTGCAGTGGCACACTCATGGCCATCTCAGCCTTGATCTTCTGGGCTCAGGCGATCCTTCCACCTCAGCCTTCTAAGTAGCTGGGACTACATTCATCCAGCTAATTTTTCGATTTATTGTAGAGGTGAGGTCTCGCCAAGTTGTCCAGGATGGTTTCGAACCCCTGGGTTCAGGCAATCCTCTCACCTTCACTTCCCAAAATGTAGGGATTACAGGCATGAGCCAAGAGCCATTGTGCCTGTCAAATTTTAAAAGTTAATGTATAAGATCACAGAAAACCCTGCTTCAATATGGGCAAGTGACATTAAGAAATGTACAAAGATGTAAATATTTAGGACCAAAAGATGTCAAAATTGCTTATAGAAGTAACTTGGAAAAAATCCATATGGCAAAAATCCATATGGTAAAGGTAGAACTGGAAGAAAATGGGGGAGATATCATTTCCTTTTTTAAAGAAACAAATATAGATGTATATATTTTTATATATTTAAAATGTTTTATTTTGCTCTATGTCAAGATCTTCATCTGTTCCTAAATACTTGACTATTTTTTATAGACCAGAAAAAAATGAAGTAGTTCTTAAATATTAGCAGATTATAGCTAATCTGTAGATTGACTATAGCCGATTGTAGCTAATTAGTAGATTTTCAATAAAAGTTTTAAAAGTCAAAAGTAAATGTTATGTTTTTGATAGTTGTCTGAATTAAAAATTCTTTGTAGTCAATATTTCAAATAATAATATTAAGTAATTTTACTAAATTACACTCACGTTTTTATGTTAAGTTTCTAAAGGAATGACTAGTTTAAATGAATAACAAATACTAAAAGAAAAAAGTCCTCTGAGACACACACATCAGTGAACCTCTCCTACCTCTGCAATTACCCACCTTCCAGCTTCATAATTTCTAGAGGTTAAAGAGCTCTCTTGAATCTCAGCTCTGATTGTTAATATTCTAAGGGGGAAGGAAAATAGCATCTGAGAAAGCTAAACCTGTCATCAGCAATAGTAGGAAGTTTAGTGGATTTACATAGAGAAATGTAGTTCTTAAATGTATCGGCCCAGGCTGAGGGCAGTGGCTCATGCCTGTAATCCTAGCACTTTGGGATGTGGAGGCAAGAGGATTGCCTGAGCCCAGGGTTTGAGATCAGCCTAGGCAACTTGGAGAGACCTCATCTCTACAATAAATCAAAAAATTAGCCGGGCATGGTGATGTGCCTCTAGTCCCAGCTACTCAGGAGAATGAGATGGGAGGATCACTTGAGTCCAGCAGTCTGAGGCTGTGGTGGCCATGATCATGCCACTGCACTCCAGCCTGGGCAAGAGTGAGACTCTGACTCAAACAAACAAACAAATAAATAAACACATTCATACACACATACACACAAACACACACACAAAATGTATAGACATTTATTAGCTTGAACAATAGAAATCCCAGTGGACAAATTAAAATGTAAAGTATTTGAAGAGCATGTTTCAGTGGGAAGAAGAAATAGCAAATCAGGTCATTGTTTCTTTTTATATTTTACTCTTCAATCTGAAGGACTTTATTAAACTTTAGTATTGACCCTTGTCATTCACAGATAAACATGGTCACATTTTAAAAACTTATACATGACACCAGATTAGAGCATAAACAGCCCTAAATGTTAAAACTTGTCAAATGTAAATAACTAGCCCTAAATGTTAAAACTTGTCAAATGTAAATAACTAGCCTTGTTATTTCCTTATGTAGAGCTTAGCCAGGCTTGGGATTTTTGTCAAATCAAACAAGCAAATTTTCATTTATTTTCTATCATATTTGCTTTTTTCCATTTATAGCTATTAGTTAACAAAATTAAGTCACAGATAAATATGGTAATATATATCTCTATATATCTTACTTGTGTTCATTTTTCTTACAGTGTCGTTTGAGAGTAGATGCTTGATTTAGAATATGACTCTGAAAACATCCACAACGGTGTATTTTAGAGATCTGGTATTTGTGAAATTACTGTTTTTCTTAGAATTAATTAGAATCAGATCAAGTTAATAAACTATCATTTTGAGTTAAAGATATACATTAATCTGTTTTTATTCTAGGCAGATTTTACCTTGCTGCTTCTTCCTCTTTTTTTTTATTCTGTAGTTCATTCAATAATCTTTGTAAAATCTTAGCATCAATTTCAGATTTATTCTCTAAATATATTTTATGAAATAAATATTTCCCTGAAATATAAAGAGAATAATATTATTTTTAAACCTTTAAAATGCAGTGAGATATAATTTGGAAATTAACACAAAATTATTTCTGCTTATATTCAAATATATTTTTCTTTAAATGTTTAAATAAAGCCCAGATTCTTTAAAATATTAAAATACCATCTAAAATACTTTTTAAAATGGTACATATTAGCACACCATAAATAAGACATGAAAAGTGTTAGCATATCATATTTTCCCTTGGAGACTCCCATTTTAAATATATCTCTTCAAGAGGTAAAGTTCAGAATAATTAAAATTTAGCTCTGCTATGTTTTTTTTTTTTTTTTTGAGTTGGAGTCTCACTCTGTCCCCAGACTGGAGTGCAGTGGCATGCTCCCAGCTACCGCAGCTTCCACCTGCTGGGCTCTGGCGATCCTTCCGCCTCAGCCTTCCAAGTAGCACTGGGGTAGGGAGGGGTCTCGAACCTGCGGGCTCAGGCAATCCACGTCTTGTCTTCCCAAAGTGCTGGAATTATAGGCTGAACCACCGAGCCCAGCCAGCTCTGCTATCTTAATGTTTCTAATTTTTAATACTTGAGGTAAAGAAGGACTAATAAATGGTCTTTGGTCTTACATATTGTTCACTTAGAAGTTATAGCTGCTGAGTGTGTGTGTGTGTGTGTGTGTGTGTGTGTGTGTGTGTGTGTGTGTGAAATCCTCAGCTTCAGAGAACAATGACAAGGGCCTGCTAGAATGTTCAGCGATCTAGCACTTAACCCTGGTCACTTCCTTGGTAGATGAAACCTCGTTTTATGTATCTCTAGGTCCTGCAGGGATTGCTGGGGTGATATTTGTAACTAGGTGGGGCAGAGAGTTATCCTTTCAATATTTAATTCAAAATATTATCAGCAACAAAACTTCGCTTTCAAATGTACATAATAAACATCTACCCACCACTGCTTTCTGTATCTGATAAGCAGATGACCAGATCAGGTACCAATCCTTTTTCGATTAAGACTACCCACAATTCTTTTACAATAGGGCAGTTATCCACAATCCATCCTCCATATTTAGTGGCACCAGAAAACCTCTTCTTGTTTTCTTCCGTCACCTGTGAAAAATGGCACACTGATGTTACTGTCACGGTACAACAAGTTAAGGATGCTACCTTGATGTGTAATTTTTGTGGATCTTAAACAAGATTTTTTTTGAGTTCTGACTTACAAAAGCAAAAAAAAATTTTTTTAAAAAGAGAAACCTAATTTTAAGGCAATAAAATGATGAGTTTTAAAAGTTAAGAATGGAGGCTGGCCACACTAGTGATTGCTGGTATTTTCAGTGACTCAAGAGGCTGAGTGGGAACTTGCTAGGGCCCAGGAATTGAAGGTCAGCCTGGGAATCACAGCAAGACAGCATCTCTAAAACAAAACAAAAAAATGTTAAGAATGAGAAGCAAAAGCCTTTATTAAACAAACTGCACATTTTTGCTATATATTATTCAATATCACAGAGTGAAAACATTGTGTCTTATATAACATTAAATCTTTGTCCAGATATTATCTGTTTCTTTGGGTTTGATTCCTAGAAGGTGTGTATTTAGGTCAAAGGGAATAAAGGAGTGAACATTTGAATCGCTTTTGTACACATTGCCATGATGCTGCCAGAAACATCTGTATGCATTTGCACTCTTCCTAACAGTGTTTGAAGGTGACTATGTCATTACAACCTCATTAGTGGTGATTATTTAAGAAAAAAATTTTGCCAATTAGGCAGGTAAAAATTGGATCTCATTATTTTAATTTTTATATTTTTCTCAAAACAGTAAACATTTTCTTTTTCTTTTTCTTTTTTTTTTTTTTGAGTTGGAGTCTCACTCTGTCACCCAGACTGGAGTGCAGTGGCCACTTCTGGCCACTGCAGCCTCGACCTGCTGGGCTCCGGCGATCCTTCCGCCTCAGCCTTCCAAGTAGCTGGAACTACAGGCACGCGCTACCACACCCAGCTAATTTTTGATTTATTGTAGAGATGAGGTCTCACCAAGTTGCCCAGGTGGGTTTCGAACCCGTGGGCTCAGGCAATCCATTCACCTCAGCCTCCCAAAGTGCTGGAATTACAGGCTTAGCCACCAAACCCGGCTAACAGTAAACATTTTCAATTAATAGTTTGTATTCTTCTTTGATGAAATATCTCCTTATATTTCTTGCCTATCTATCTACATCTCTATTTATGTCCCCAAAATATGAATCCTGCTTGAGGTACCTTTGGAATTATGTTCAGAATTCACTAATTTTTGAGTACTTGCTTTAATAGAAGCATATTTTTATATATGCTTATTTTAATAGAAGCATATTTTTATATATGATTATTTTAATAGAAGCATATTTTATATACCAGCCATTTTTTCATATAAGATATGTATGTATCATGCAATATGTATATTCAGGTTACGTATATAAAGACATGCATTTGCCAGGCTGGTGGCTCGCCTGTAATCCCGCGCCTCGGGAGGCTGAGGTGAGTGAATTGCCTGAGCCCGCGGGTTCGAGACCCGCCTGGCAACTTGGTGAGACCTCATCTCTACAATAAATCAAAAAATTAGCCGGGCGTGGTAGCGCACGCCTGTAGTTCCAGCTACTTGGAAGGCTTAGGCAGAAGGACCGCCGGAGCCCAGCAGGTCGAGGCTGCGGTGGCCAGGAGCAGCCACTGCACTCCAGTCTGGGAGACAGAGTGAGACTCCAACTCAAAAATAAAAATAAAAAAATAAAGACATGCATTTTATGCATACAATTTGATGACTTTTTACATAGTGCTGACATTATATCTGGTATTATAAGTAATCTAGAGATGATTTGAAGTATATAGGAGGATGTGCAGAGGTTATAATGCAAATACATATAAGTAGTATTTTATATAAGAAACTTGAGAAGCCATAGATTTTTTTTTTTAATCTGGGAGGATCCTGGGACTAATCCCCTGAGGAAACTGAGGAATGACTGTGTAGATATTTATGATCACAAATTAGAAGACTCAACACTGTGAAGATGGTAGTCTTCACCAAATTCATCTATAGATACAAGGCAATCCAATCAAAACTCCAGCAGAAGGGTGGGGGGGGGAGAGAAAATTGATAAGCTGATTCTTAAATTTATGTGGAGGTAAACAGAACGTATAATAGCTAAGATCATCTTGAAGAAGTAAGTAGAGGAAAACATATAGTGTGACACAGAGCAGGACTTAATGGCAGGAGAAACAAGATGTTGAGTGACTTACACTACCAGAACTCACAACATATGATAAAGCCACAGTAGTTAAAATGTGGGGCAGTGGCACAGACAGACAGACCAACAGAGCAGAACAAAAAGTCCTGAAAGAAGAAACTGTGGATATATGACTACCTGACTTAGAATAGTGGGGAAAAGAAGATCTTTTCAAAAACGGATGCTACAGTAACTAAACATCTAAACTGAAGAAAGTAAGTCTTGACTCTCACATTGTGGCTTTAATTTGTATTTTTCTGATGATGAGTAACATGGAGTACCTTTTCATGTACATATTGGCCATCTGAATATGTATTTTTTGACACACAAAAATTAGTTCAAAGTGAACCTTAGAACCAAATATGAAAAATAAAGCAAATTTTCCAGAAGAAAACCTGGAAGAATATATTCTTGACTTTGGGTAGGCAAACATTTCTGAAACAGAACATAAAAATCACTGACAACGAAAAAGAAAGTCAATAAATTTGACTTCATTAAAATTAACTCCTATTATTCAAAATAGAAGATATTTGTAAACAAAATCGCAAAATATTCAGTAAATAACTCATATTCAGAAGTCATAAAGAAGTATAAATTTTAAAAAGGAGACAATTCATTACCAAAAAAATCATGGTCACACAACTTGAACAGGTCCTTCAGAGAGGAGCTGTGGGGAGTCAGAGAGGCCGGTATAGCCCTGGGCTCGAGAACACCACCCAATGTTATAAAGTAGTTCTACACTTTCATATAATATAGACATTTTTTTCCTGGCCTGGCATGGTGGTTCACATCTGTAATCCCAGTATTTTGGGAGGCTAAGGTGGGAGGATAGCTTGAGCCCAGAAGTTCAAGACCAGCCTGGGCAGCATGGTGAGACCCTTGCTAACCAAAAACTAAAAATTAGCTGGGTGTGATGGCACACGCCTGTAGTCCCAGTTCTGTGGGAGTCTAAGGTGAGAGGATGACTTGAGCTCAGGAGGTCGAGGCTGAGGTGAGCCATGATGGTGCCACTGCACTTTAGTTTGGATGATAGAGTAAGACGCCAACTAAAAATATATATATTTCGCACAATAAAGTTAAATTAAAACACAGAGAAATATACAAGTTCACTGATAGTCTAAGAGATTTGTTCTGTCTTTGACTTTTGCTCTGAATACTTATCTGAGATCTCTGTACAAAATAGACCCACATGAATACTTTGTTCTTTATAAATGAACAAGAAATTTTCTGATTTGTTATTGATAGGATGTAACATTGGAGGATTTTTTTTCTCCTTTAGACAGATACACTACATGTGTCCACCCATCTCCCCTATGAACACATGCTCAAGGTGGTTGGATGCAATTAATTAACCAAGCAAAATTAGTCTCAGTCTATGATTAGCTCATAGGGGAAACCTCTAACTTTGGTACTGGCTTTAACATACACCATTTTTTAACCAACTGGACTAAACCAAAGACAATAAAAGTTAATGAAAAATTAATTTCAAAGGCATGAGAGTATATTGATCAAAATTGAAAATTTACCAAAGAGCATCAGCAATTGTTCATGGGAGTACTCAGCATGTAACAAAGTTGAATGCACAATGCACATGAATTTGAAAGCTACAGAGTTCAATACCATAAAATAAAACTCGAAAATAATGACACATATCCTAGATGAACATTCTTTTGGCTAAAGTTAAATCAGTGATAAAGATTACCAAGCTGAAAATTCTACCTCTCTGAGGACTTCCTCTAAGATTTCAGCATGTTTTTCATATGGCTGCTCAAAGTTCATGTCTTTTCTCGTTTTTACAGCCTCTTCAATCATGGACAGAACCTCTGGATGATTGGCAGTCACCTCTTCTATTGTGTCTTCTATTGAGACTAAAATAAAATAAGCTAATAAATTAATGCCACGAATACTTTAGTGGACAGTGTTATCTGCAATAAAATAGGACTGAAAACGTCTGACCCAAGAAACTATTATCTCTGTTACTGCAGCACGTGCAGGAATAAGGGAGGGAGAAGACTCGGGAAAGGGGATGTTAAGTCAGGAATCGCAGAACCACAATCAGCGCAGTGACTTAAGCCAAGCACCAGGACGAAAGAGAACAAAGCAGGAAGAAAGATGTGTCAGGCACGAGTCAAAACCCAGGGAGAAAGGTCGAGACCAGAGGACTCCCGGAGTCCAGCAGAAACACAAGCATCCAGGGAATGAGTCGGGAAACAGAAGGAATACTTGCAGTGACTAGCATGAGGCTACAGGGGGCGATGAAGGGACAGGAGGTAGGCAAGATTGAGGGCGGAGGGAAAAGTGGCACCGGCAGCCTTTCCAAGTGGCACACGTGATTCTTGCCCTCCCTGGTGCGGAAGTGTCTCGGTGCATGGCTGAGTTGGCTTTCAGGCTGCATGGAAATGTTCATTGGTATCTGCTCCTCCAGTGAGACAGGAGCTTGGCCACTCCATCTGACTCCTCGACCTCTGCCTTTGCAGTCGAGCATCTGAGCTGCCACCCCTGGGTTCCATCTTATCAGGTTCTCCCGCCAGAGCCTGATTGGTCCCATCCCAGAAAAGCCCAGAGGGTCTTCAGAAAGCAGCTGCCTGCTGCCCTTCTTGCCTGAAAGGATGATGACAGCCACTGTTTCTGGGGAACCAGAGCAGAAGATCAAGAAAGTGTGATCTTCCCGTGGCTGTGGAGTGGCAGGCAGAGTGACACAGGAACAGGCAGACAGACAGGCTGCATGTGCTGGAAGCTGCTAGTTGTCCACTTGACATCCACGCTCCTCTTTCTTAGTAACAGAAATCTGATTTTATCAAGGCCAGCAATGTGCCCAGCTAAAAAATAACATCTCCCAACTTCTCTTATGGCCTAGACAGCCAATAAGATGCAAGTAGAATGTGTGTGTGTGTGTGTGTGTGTGTGTGTGTGTGTGTGTGTGTGTCTTCCTTACACTCAGCTGACAGCTGAGGGGAGTGCCAGTTTTTGTTTTTTGCTTTTTCCTTCTTCCTGCGAGGTACACCGACATCACAGCTGGAGCTCCAGAAAACCATCTTGTGAGTTATTAGAGTGGCTAGGCGACAGGGATGCTGAGCAGAAAGATAGACCGTCTGTCTTTCAGTATTCCTTTTCATCAAAACATGTGTTCCTGCATGTTTAACTGTGTATAACAGAGTAGCCTTTAAGGTAGGGTAAGTTGGGTATTGATAATGCTATTTAAGACAAAGTCTTACATTTCTTCTTTTAAATGCTGAAGGAGCTGCATGTGTTTATTTTAGAGTCATAACCTGAGGGAACCAAATTACCCTCATATTACCTTACCTGTGTCTGAATGTACCTTCAGATCTTGACTTGTGTCTTGAGCCCTTCTTTTGAATGTGGATGTTTCACTGGTTTCTTTTCCATCTGTGAATAAAACATTATTAACATCTAAAGAACATTATCTAAGAAAAAGTAGGTGGAAGACTATGATAAGGAACCAGGACTCACATTCCCAATTTTTAATTAAAATAGCAACCATAACATTCAAGTGGGTAAACAGAAATATCTATCGCAGGGAAAGTGAAGATAATAACTTAACCTATAACAAAACCAGCAATAATTTCAGCTTTCAGTGAACCTACACTGAAACAAACCAAACCAAACCAAACCAAAACAAAACAAAACAAAACAGTGCTTTCCCTGAGGCAACCGACCCTGGACTCCTGGAAGTAAAAACCATGCTTATCTCAGAGACAAGGGGCAAGGAGGGTGTCTTTTAAATAAGATACTGGCAATATTGGCATTCCTCCAGCAGGAGTGGAGGCACTGATGCTGTCTCATTTGGGCTGCTCCTCTCAAAGAGCAGACAGTCTCGGGTGGAGCTCTCTTTGGGTGTTGGTGCTGGGAACCCCCACAGCAGCACAAAGGCGACACCCAGCAGCCACTTGATGGCCACGATTTTTCTGTATGGGGGGAATGGGGTCCTTCTGTGAAGGCTGTGTGTGTTGAGGGAGGAGTGCCCTCCATGAGTTCCTGACAGTCCCCAGTGCAGTTCTCACTAAGCTCGAAAGAAACCGCAGACAAACGCATCTGTCGGAATTTGTAGGAGAAATGAAACAGAAAAACAGCTCTATGTTATAGATAAATATAAAATACAAATGCACCCAAAAACTCAATACAAAAAGGCTGGATCAATTTTAAAAATATAAACACAAAAATAAATAAGTAGCTTTTTAAGCCTAAAAGTGACAGGAGAAATTAACAAAGAGAAACTAATGATCTGACTGCAAAAATATGAAAAATGCCTTTACTTCAAAAACAGTAAGCTGACTTAGAAGACAAACCACCCAATTTAAAAAATGTATGAAAAATAAGAAAGTAATATAGAAAGTTTGTGCAAGATGATAATTTAGAAAAATGGGCAAAAGACAAAAATGGTCACCTCAGGAAAGAAGAAATATAAATGGTTAACAAATATCAAAATACACTTCAGAAGTAAAAATTAAAATAAGAGACATTAATCTATATATGATCTAACATATATTTAAACATGTTTATTAATCTAGTGATTCCTTAGTAATCCCTAGTAATTGTAGGGAAATTGAGCAGTAACTTAAAATGAAGGTTAAAATATTTCCTAATGAAGTAATATAATCAAATGGTACATTATAAGTTAAAAAAAAGTAAAAATAGTTTATAGCTTTTATGTAATGTTATATTACATATAATATATAATGTAATAATACTATATGCCCTCAATTCTGTTCAAATATGAGTAGAAAAAATTTATAAGGGTAAAAAGTACAATGGGTAAATGATAAAATTTCACAGCTAAAATTGCTGGCTTAAGATGCTCTGATTGACCTGGTGCGGTAGCTCGCACCCACCAAAATATTGATCCCAGTATTTTGATAGGCTGAGGCAGGAGGATGGCTTGAGGGCAGGAGTTGGAGATTAGCCTGGCTAACATTGCAAAACCCTGTCTCTACAAAAATAAAAATAAAAATAAATTAGCCAGGCATGGTGGTGCATGCCTGTAGCCTTAGCTACTCAGAAGGCTGAGGTGGGAGGATAGCTTCCATACAGGAGTTCAAGGTTATAGTGAATTATGATCGTGCCACTGCACTCCAACCTGGGCGACAGAATGAGACCTAATAAGGTGCTTTGATTCCAATACATTAAAAGAAGCAGAGAGTTTTTAAGAAAAACATGTATAATTCTTATAATTATATAAGATTATACACATTCTTTATATATTTAACATTCTTTTTTTTTTTTTGAGTTGGAGTCTCACTCTGTCACCCAGGCTAGAGTGCAGCGGCAAGCTCACGGTCACCGTAGCCTTGACCTGCCAGGTTCAGGCGATCCTTCCACTTCAGCCTTTCAAGTAGCTGGAACTACAGGCATGTACCATCATGCCTAGATAATTTTTCTTGATTTAGTTTAGAGATGAGGTCTCGCCAAGCTGCCCAGGCTGGTTTCGAATTCATAGGCTCAGGCAATCCTCTCACCTCGTGCTCCCAAAGTGCTGGGATTAAAGGCATGAGCCACCACGCCCAGCCTATAATTAACATTCTTTATAATTCTTTAAAAAAATTTATAAGGGTAAATAGCACAATGGACAAATGATAAAATTAACACAGCTAAAATTGCTTTTTTAAAAAGAAAGAATTATAGTTATTATGCTTGTATTATGTTTGGAAACATTTAAAAGTTTTTCTTTGGGCTCCAATTGCGTTTGACTCCCCCCCATTCTCTTTGTTTTCTTCAGTTTACTAAATCTATTTTGGTTTTCTAGCTGTTCAGTTTAAATCTATAAGAAAGAAGTTTGCTTTTGTTCTGAAACTTCCAATTTTTTTTTTGTAATTTTAAGTTTCAATATAAACATGATCAAATATGAAATAAGTGAAAACAAAATCCATAAGCATGGCATTAGCAATTCACTTTGTTACCATCTTTAGCAGCTTGATCAGAGAGGATACTTCCTGATTTTGTTTTGGTTTCTTCAGTGTCTACTAATGAGTTGTCTCTTTGGGAGCCTTGGGCGGACACTGCAGTGAAAGAATAATATACTTTATAAGTCAGTCTCTTTGTATCAGGAATGATCTGGTCAATAATTCGGCAATATATCTCTTTACCGTTTTCACTAGTTGAAGAGCGTGTGTCCTCTGAGCTTTTATACATGTCCTTTGGGAAGTCTTCAGACTTCTTCTTTTCATATTGTCTTTGAAATTCTCTTAAAGCTATCTCTGCTGAAATATAATAATCGGCAGTGTGAGCAAAAGGTACCTGGGGGCAGGTAGGCAGGTAGAGTAAAAGCCCCTGCTTTAAAGTTGGACAGTCTTAGGTTTGAGTTCTGTCACTTCAGAGCTGGGTGACTTTGGTAAGTGATATCAGTTTCAATTCCTAATGAGGGTCGTATAAACTTAAGGCATGGCTGTGAAGACAGAATGAGGTAACAAATGGAAACACTTTTTTTTTTTTTTGCATTGGAGTCTCACTCTGTCACCATATCTTTAAAATAAAATAAATTTTTAAAAAGTTCAGATCTCCAGTAAAATTATGGCTAATTTATTAATTGTTATTTGTAACACTGACTCACGATTTGGGGGGGAAAAGAACTTAGATACCCAACACAAATTTATTATAATAATTATAAAAATGCATTATTTAAAAATAAGTGAATGTAATTTTGCATATACCATAGGATCACAACTAATCATTACAAATATAAATAGAAAATAAGACCAGGTGCGGTGGCTCATGCCTATAATCCCAGCACTTTGGGAGGCCGAGATGAGAGCCCACGGGTTCCAGACCAGCCTGAGCCCACGGGTTCCAGACCAGCCTGGGCAACTTGATGAGACCTCATCTCTACAATAAATCAAAAAATTAGCTGGGCATGTGCAGGGGGCCAGCCCCTGCAGAGATCGGAGGTCCCTGGTAGGAAAGACGGCATCGTGATTAAACTGGAGGGATAGATATTAGAAAGAAGAAAGAGACTGGATAACTGATCAAAGATTAAACAGAAGTCATTTAATGTGACAAACCGTAAGCCTTTTATGCTAAAGTTTCCCGGGCAAAATCACAAGACTTTCATGTGAACACAAAGCCAAGTGGGTGAGGGGCACTCCCCCTCTACCCTCCAGATGTTTCCTCAGGCATGAGGAAGAACAATCCCCAAATTATCTTACTGTTCCTAATGCTTGGTTAATGTTCCTCAAAAATAATGCAACAATCTCCACTAGCATCATGATGTTCTAATAATCAATAACTTCTAAAGCTTATGCGTATACAACATCTAAAACAACTAACTTAAATCCTATTACCTTTTCTATTCTATGCTAATTCTACCTACACTATGGAAACTCTTAATAATAGCTCAAGCCAATTCCTAAAGAATGTGGCTCAGTCCAAAGATCACGCTGGGCCATTTCTAGGAACAATTGATTATAAGCTCTTAGCAAAATGGCTACTCTAAAATCTTACATATCTATCATAACTTCTATAAAAGTTTCTAATTAAATCCCAAAGTATCATGTTCGAACTATCATAATTCCCTGACATTGGCATAATCTATTCTACAATACTTTCTATGAATAAAATAAGTTCAACTTCTATAATGAATAGAGAAAAACCCTATACTAATTGTTAGCTAAAACCGGTTCAAAAGAATGTGGCCCGGTCCAAAGTACATGCTGGGCTCTTAAGAATGTGGCCCAGGCTGGGTTCGGTGGCTCAGCCTGTAATCCCAGTACTTTGGGAGGCCGAGGTGAGCGAACTGCCTGAACCCGTGGGTTTGAGACCCGCCTGGGCAACTTGGTGAGACCTCATCTCTACAATAAATCAAAAAATCAGCTGGGCGTGGTAGCGCGCGCCTGTAGTTCCAACTACTTGGAAGGCTGAGGTGGAAGGATCACCGGAGCCCAGCAGGTCGAGGCTGCGGTGCAGGAGCGGCCACTGCACTCCAGTCTGGGTGACAGAGTGAGACTCCAACTCAAAAAAAAAACAAAAAGAATGTGGCCCAGTCCAAAGTTCGTACTGGGCCATTTCTTGTGACTACAGATAATCATCTATACCACCTAAAGCTGAAAACAGCTCTCCATATGTATATACTAATTCTACAAATATATTTTTGAATCTTATAAAGAAGCTTGTACCGTATTGAAGGCTCCCAAATGTGACCTGAGTTTGAATTTTATCTAATACCTAAGCCGAAACTGCAGTTCGTGGGAAACAGGAACAATGAGTTTCTAGAGTTAGCCATGTCTGTCACAGTCACAGAGTCTTCAGCTTAGGTCAGCAGAGATCCTTTTGGCTGAGTGTGCCAAATAAAGAAAGGGAGAAGGGAATGGGGTCAATAGCTCCCAAACGCATCCTAGTGGTCTTGGGGTCCATGGCCCTCCCTGATCCCTAATGCTCAGTGGGCCTCTGTGGCCGGCTCCCAACAGGCATGGGAGTACATGCCTGCAGTTCCAACTACTTGTAAGGTTGAGGCAGAAGGATCACCTGAACCCAGCAGGTCAAGGCTGCGGTGGCCATGAGTGTGCCACTGCACTCCAGCTTGGCCGACAAGAGTGAGACTCCAACTCAAAAAAATTAAAATAAAATAAAATGGATGGAGAACACATGAAATTTTAAAAGTGGTTCTCTCTGGGAGTAAGTGTAGTGAGTGTTCCTTGTATCTTGAGTTTTCCAATTTTCTGAGCTCACTGAAGAAACATAGAGAACACCAACATTGATTTGAACCCTAATCACTTGTGGGCTGTCAATGTTATTATACATAAGCCCTCTAAGCCTGAGTTTCTTCCTCTACTAGAAATGGAGATAATATCTGCCTCGCAGGCCTGTCTGAAGGTTCAACAGGATAACACATGCAACACAGTTACATAGTCCCAGCTTGGAGGAGGTGCCCCATAAATATTAGCTACTACTATTGTAATGAGAACAATATAGTTAGGAAAAGGCTATTTGGAATAGAGGCACTGATGGCCACATCAGGTGACCGTGTACTGCCATAGCTTCTGGGAATCCAAACAGTGGTGACTGAATCTGGCTAAAATGCTGGAGCTAATCCCAGATTTAGGAGCTGAATTTTTGAAAGTGAGGATGGTCCTATGTAGTGTACAGGAAATGCTGCCTTAAGGGAATTCCTTCAAGAGGAGATGTTTAGATGAAGCTACTTTCGCATGTTCTAACCTGACTAGTTACAGGGCTACCAACTAGAGCTATAAAGTCTCCCAAAACCAATCAGTGAATTTCAAAAGTAGCCAGAAATGATAATTCTCATTTTTCCTGGAGAAAAACAGAAATAAAAAAAGAAAAACTCTGCATCTATTCTAAAATATGTGCTCAACAGTCAGTGAGATACAGGAGGAGGCAGAATGATTAGGAGAGAGAACACTGAACTTTGGAGACAAGGGTTCAAGTCTCAACTGTAAGACCAGCTGGGGGATTTTCAGGGAGTCACTTAACCTGCATGAGCCTTCATTTCCTCATCTATAGAATTATTGTGTTAATTGATCACCCAGGCTTCCTCCAGGACACTGTATTATAACCTTTTGAATTTTTTATTTTATGTGGGGTAAAATTCAGGGTTAGGTATACAAATGTTCATTATGCAGGTACCCTTGTTGATGAGGTGTGCCTCCCTCCCCTGACTTTTAAATTTGAAATGAACATTTCCCAAATAGAAAGAGTTCGTTGCAATCAAGGCTGACATATAAGTCTAAAGCCACCAGCACAACAAACTCTATAAGGTGAATTGTTGTTTTTGTTGTTCTAATAATTGTTATAAGTAAAGGTAAAAATATTGTCCAGTCTGCCCAGTGAGTAGAAAAAAGTAAAGAAATCCAAATTTGGAAGTTTCTTCTGATTCCTTTCCTCAGATGTCCAGAATTGAATTTTTTCTCTGCATATGAATCAGTTTATGTATAGTCATCTTCCAATGATTTATTTTACTTTATCTTATTTTTATTTTTCAAACCCATCCTAAAGACAGGACTTCCAACCAGTGGTCAAGAGACCATAATGCATAGGTGTTAAGATGAGCTAAACAAAGTCCTTGTCCTCAAGCAGCCAGGCTTAATTGTTTACTTAAATGGAAAACACACATTCTCTTTTTTTTGAGTCAGAGTCTCACTCTGTCGCTCAGGCTGGAGTGCAGTGGCATGCTCACGGCTACCACAGCCTTCACCTGTGGGCTCAGGTGATCCTTCTGCCTCAGCCTCCCGAGTAGCTGGGACTACAAGTGTGTGCCACCAAGTCCAGCTAATGTTTTTACTTACCATAGAGACGAGGTCTTGCCAAGTTGCACAGGCTGGTCTTGAACCCCTGGGCTCAGGCAATCCTCTCACCTCGGCCTCCTAAAGTACTGGGATTATAGGTATGAGCACTGTGCCCAGCTGAAAACACACAGTTTTAAAAGATGGCTCACCTTGTTTTTTAGCCTGTAGTTCTATGAGAAGTTTTTCTCTCACAGCTTTAATAGCTGCTTCAGTGGCCTCAGCAATATTATTTTCTATTAAAGTTTCACGTGCTTTATCAAAACGTGGCTGAACAAATTTGGCATAGTCAACTACCTGCAAAGAATATTTGAGAAAATCAATATAAGCGCAAGTTATTGTGACCATTAGACACACTGTTTATATATCTATATCTCTATTTATGTTCCCAAAATATTAATACTTCTTGAGGTACCTTTGGAATTATGTTCAGAATTTACTGATTTTGAGTACTCGCTTACTAGAAGCATATTTTTATATATGCTTTTTTTTTTTTTGAGTTGGAGTCTCACTTGGTCGCCCAGACTGGAGTGCAGTGGCCGCTCCTGGCCACCGCAGCCTCGCCTGCTGGGCTCTGGCGATCCTTCCACCTCAGCCTTCCGAGTAGCCGGAATTACAGGCATGCACTACCACGCCCGGCTGATTTTTTGATTTATTGTAGAGATGAGGTCTCGCTGCCCAGGTGAGTCTCGAACCCGCGGGCTCAGGCAATCCACTCACCTCAGCCTCCCAAAGGCGCGGGATTACAGGCTGAACCACCGAGCCCAGCTTATATATGCTTATTTTAATAGAAGCACATTTTTATACATCAGCCATATTTTTCATGTAAAAAAATATATATGTATGTATGTATGTATCATGTAATATGTATATTCAGGTGACATATTTTTTGGCTTAGAAATTAAAACATTTACATATATTTTTTAAATCAACTTTTTATGTATAATTTACATGCAATAAAAGTCACACATTCTAAGCATACAGTTTGACGACTTTATACAAATATGTACATATAGAACCACCACAATCAAGATACAGGACTTTTTTTTTTTTTTGAGTTGAGGTCTTTTTTCAGTGGAGTGCAGTGGCACGATCATGGCTCATGGAAGCCTCAACCTTCTGGGCTCTGGTGATCCCTCTGCCTCAACCTCCCGAGTAGCTGGGACTATAGGTGCATGCCACCATGCACAGTTAATTTTTTGATTTTTGTAGAGATGAGGTCTCCCTATGTTTCCCAAGCTGGTCTCGAATTCCTGAGCTCAAGTGATCCTCCTGCCTTGGCCTCCCAAAGTACTGGGATGACAGGCATGAGCCAAATTTCCTGATGCTCCTTTGCTGCCAATCCCTCTCCCTACCACATTCTGCAGCTTTCATTCCTGACCCCTGACAGCCACTTTTGGCTTTCTGCCACTATAGATTAGTTCTGTCTTTTCTAGAATTTCATACAAATGGAATCATCCCGTGTGTGATCTTTTTCAGACTTTCCTCCTTAGTAGAATGTTTCTGAGACTCAGCATTGCTACTGCAGGCATCCTTTTTCATTGTTGAGTGGTATTTCATTCTCTGATTCTCCCCGTCTTGTATCCATTCATTCATTGATAAGTATTTGACCTGTGTCTAGGCTTTGCTATTATGGATAAGGAGGTGATGAACATTTGTACAGAAGTCTTTTTGTGGACACATGTTTCTATTTCTCTCGGGTAAATATCCAGGTGTAGAATTACTGGGCCATACAGTAAGTATACACTTGACTTTAAAAGAAACCATCAAACTGTTTCTGAAATAGTTGGACTATTTTACATCCCTACCAGCACTGTATGAAGGATAGTTTCTTTTCCGTGTCACTAACAGTTTTGTGAATCTTTATTATTTTATTTTTTGAGTCAGGGTCTCAATCTATTGCCCAGGCTGGAGTGCAGTGGCATGATCACAGCTCACCACAACCTCAACCTTCCGGGCTCAGACGATTTTCCCACTTCAGCCTCTCAAGTAGCTGAGAAAACAGGTAGTTGCCACCATACCTGACTAATTTTTAATTTTTTTTTTTTTTTGTAGAGATGAGATCTCATTATGTTGCTCATGCTGGTCTTAAACTCCTGGGATCCAGCAATTCTTCCTTTGTGGCCTCCCAAAGTGCTGAGACTATAGGCACGAGTAACTGTGTCTGACTGAATCTTTTAAAGTTTAGTCATTCTAGTGGATGTAAGGAAGTCTCTCGTTGTAGTTTAAATTTAAGTTTACATTTTCCTAATTACTAATAATTTTGAATTTCTTTTTATGTGTTTATTGATCATTCACTTTTCTTTTCTTTTCTTTTTTTTTATCTCCCCAGAAGGGGCGCACCGTTCCTGGAAGTACTGCAATACCAGGTCGATGCATGGAGTGGACGGAGCAAGCTCCTATTTCATCTCCTAATTCCAAAAATCCATTTAATATATTATCCTCAGATAAAGGACGTATCAGAACAGATGCTACACTTGATCTTAGCCAAAAGGACAAGAAGCAATCATTTACTTTTCTTTTAAAGCATATGTCCAACTTTTGCCTATTTTAAAAATTGTCTTAGAATTCTCCATATGTTCTTGATATAAGTCCTTTTTCAGATAATAGACTTTATTCTGAACGTTAGGATCTTAGACCTGGGTTTCTATATACCTTTTAATTAATATTTCCAGATCCTTAGATTCCTTTCTTTTTCCCTTCAATGGGCTTACGTTGTTTTATTCTATGCCAATAAATCTTTATTTACATCATCAGTTTTTTTTTTTTTGTTGTTTGTTTTTTTTTTTTGAGTTGGAGTCTCACTCTGTCACCCAGACTGGAGTGCAGTGGCCGCTCCCGGCCACCGCAGCCTCGACCTGCTGGGCTCCAGCGATCCTTCCGCCTCAGCCTTCCGAGTAGCCGGAATTACAGGCGTGCGCTACCATGCCCGGCTGATTTTTTGATTTATTGTAGAGATGAGGTCTTGCTGCCCAGGCGGGTCTCGAACCCGCGGGCTCAGGCAATCCGCTCACCTCAGCCTCCCAAAGGCGCAGGATTACAGGCTGAGCCACCGAGCCCAGCACATCATCAGTTTTTGATGGGTGCTCATTACTGCATTAGATGAATATATTACACATTATTTAACTAAAATACCAATATATATTATATATAGTATGTCTCTATATATTATATGCTATATATTTAAGTATACATGCTTTTGCTACTATAAGCTAGGCTATGATGAACACAATTATGTACATATATTTGTCTGATAGGTCCTTTAGAAAAATCTATAAAATAGAGTTGATAGTTCAAAGGCTATGCATGGATCTTAGACTTGCACATGTTTTTCTAACCTCTTTGTCTAATGGTCTGGTCTTCCTTGGCTTATGCCTTCATGAACTTTCCCTTCCCCACCATCTTAGGGTTTACTTCCCCTCTCCCCTGCCATGGGACCCTGTTTCTTCTGAATTCCATGTTTCCCTCTTGGTTTAAGCCCCCATTTTGATGAACCACATCCTCTAACTTCCTGAAAAAGAATACTTGAGAGGTAGTTTTTATGTGTGACTGAAAATGCCCTCATTCTATCATCAGACTTGATTATAAAATTCTGGGCTATAAATCATCCCCTCAAAGAATTATCTTCTGACTTCCAGAGTTGCCATTGAGAAGTGCCATGCTATTTTGATTTTTCAGTCTTGTGTGTGACCTAGTTTTTAAATTTTTTTTTTTTTGAGTCAGAGTTTCACTCTGTTGCCCAGGTTAGAGTGCAGTGGCACACTCATGGCCACCACAGCCTCGACCTCCTGGCTCAGGTGATCCTTCTGCCTTAGCTTTCCAAGTAGCTGGAACCACAGGCATGTGCCACCATGCCCAGCTAATTTTTTAAAAATTATTATTTATTGTAGAGATGAGGTCTTACCAAATTGCCCAGGCTGGTCTTGAACCCCTGGGCTTAGGCAATCCTTTCACCTCTGCCTCCCAAAGTGCTGGGATTTCAGGTATGGGCCACTGTGCCCAGCCATGACCTAGTTTTTCTCTCCAGTTTTCTAGAGGTTTATGTTTCCAGAAGTTTCTGGATCTTTGCTCCCATTGTCCTACATTCAAAAGTGATGAGCCGGGTGCTCTTTGGGAGGCGGAGGTGAGAGGATTGCCTGGGCCCAGGGACTTGAAACCAGCCTGGACAACTTGACAAGACCCCTTCTTTTCAATAAATAAAAAATGAGCTAGGTGTGGTGGTGCATGCCTGTAGTTCCAGCTACTTGGAAGGCAGAGGCAGAAGGATCACCTGAGCCCAGCAGGTCGAGGCTGAGGTGGCCATGAGGGTGCCACTGCACTCCTGGGTGACAGAGTGAGACTTTGACTCAAAAAAAAAAAGTGATGTGCTTTAGCGTGAGTCATTTCCATTAATTGTACTGGGTATTTGCTGGGTCATTGCAATTTGGAAGCTCGTCCTTCAATCTAGGAAATATTAACAGGCATCTGGGGTGCTGGCAGCATTTCTTCTTGGGTGGTGGTTATATGGGGTTTCATCGTGGGATAACTCAGGGCTCCACTTCTCTGTATTTTTGTCATATTTTACAATTAAAAACTTAAAAGTAAGTAGAAAATGTCACTCCTGTGCTTAAAAGAATTCAGCTGCACTTTGAACAGCTTCAAGCTCCTTCCATGACCTGGACTGCTCTGTGCCTTCAGCCATCATCTCATGCCACTCTTCCCACAGCCAGCACTCAAGCGACAATGGCCTCCTTAGAATTCCTCCACACACCAGTTTCTCATTGAATCCTCCGGCTCTGCCTTCAGCTCATCTCCCAAATCTGCCTATTTCTTACCACCTTCACTGCTATCACTCTGGTCCAAGCCAAAGATAATTTCTTTTCATTTACTGAGAGCAGAGAGCAAGGTCATGCGGGCGGGGATGGGGAAGAGGTCAATATGTTGGACGCATCGTCATTGTAGATACTGAAATCACCAAGAACTAGGACAGGTGAGGAGAGTGAGAATGAGCCAGGAGGAGTGGCACTCAGGAAACAGAAGGCGAGTGGAACCCAGAAAGGTAGTAGGTGACACAGTCTGGATGACATGACATTCAAATACAGTGGCTTGTGGGAAGCAGGGAAGGGGCTTGGTCCGGAAAAGCAATAAACGGCAAGAAGGATGTCTTCCCCACACCAAGCCCAGAGGAAAACGGTCCAACTGACATTGTAAAACTTTAAAAAATTGAGTACAAAAAAATTTACACATTATAATAAAGTATAGACTGATGGATAGATAGATAATTACCTTTCCTTTGTAGTTTTCTGCAAGCAAGTTGCTAAGTGTTGTTTTCCCTGAATACGGAGGTCCAAATATGAATACTTTACATGGTGGAGCTGGCATGGGTGGGAGCAGGTAGGGACGTGGGTTCAATAAAAATGGTTTTAATGCTTCTTCGGATGAAAGACAGTATATTTTACCTAGAAAACTTAAAATATGCCATAATAATAAACAACTACAAAGATGCATGGGCATGTTTTAAAATTAAGTTCTGAAAACCTGACTTACCTCACAGAAAAATCTGGTGATCCTGAATAAATGTTTCCTTCTTTTAAACTCACAGGGCATATCTGTCCCCATTTGCTTCTCTGCCACCTATATCTTGGTGCGAGAAGTTTATAAGATGCAAGGGTACGTAACAGTTCATCCTGGGAATCGCAAACATAGGAAAATGTGAGCATAAGTTTTGTGAAATTAGCAGTAGTATTTTATTTCTTATTTAATAGGGCTTTACTACTTAAGAAATAATTTGAAAAGTAAGTTTTGGCTTTTTTCTTAATTGCAACATTCTGTACTGGTCCCAGATTTAATAAGACTAGTTTTCATTTCTGTTAAAAAACAAAAACCCTCAATCTTTAAATTGTACTGAAAAGTTTCTATCATATGGTAGAATGAACATAAGGGCATTTCCTTCCTCCCTCCCTCCCTACCTTCCTTTCTCCCTTCCTTCCTTCCTTTTTTGTTTTCGAGTCAAGGTCTCACTCTGTCCCCCAGGTTGGAGTGCAATAGCTCACCACAGCCTCAAACTCCTGGGCTCAGGTGATCCTTCTGCCTCATCCTCCTGAGTATCTGGCACTACAGGCACATGCCTCCACTCAGCTAATATTTTGATTTTTTTTTAACAACAAGTTCTGCTATGTTGCCCAGGCTGGTCTCAAAATCCTGGGCTCAGGTGATCCTTCTGCCTCAGCCTCCTGAGTAGATGGGACTACAGGTGCATGCCTCCATGCCCAGCTAATATTTTGATTGTTTTGTAGCAACAAGACCTGCTATGTTGCCCAGCCTGGTCTCAAATTCCTGGGTTCAAGCGATCCTCCCACCCCGGTCTCCCAAAGTGCTCGGACTACAGGTATGAGCCATCGTGCCCAGCCTCTAAGGACAAATATTCTAGCTGGGAAAATTCCAGATGGTTTTATGGCTTCTTTTTACTTTTCCTCCAGTGATGACCTAGAAGAAGGGCCCTCAGTACACGGTTTATTTTTCCCATTTCTGGGCTGACTAGGCCCACCTTTTTTCCTCTTTAGCCCCAGTTCATATAACAAAGGTCCCAGGACATATTCCAGCTATGCTGACCTGCTAAGATCTATGGATTATAAGATATGGGATAACAAAATGACCTCTTTACTCAAAGATTATTTTATTTGAATTCTAGCTATTTTATGATCCTGATTTTTTTTTTTGAAAAATTTCTGTTCATGTAGGTGAAACTAAACTTCTCAGAATAGATCAAATCATCCAATGAAAAGTCTTTGTGGCCCTTTTGACAGTTAGCAGCTATCATGTGATCGCCATCAAGCCTACCATATATCAGTGTCAGGAACACAGCAGTTACTCAGAAAAACTGGTTGAATGACTAAAGGAATGAATGAGTGCTTATAGAGTTGAGATCTTTTATTTCTTTGTTTTCCTTGGAGATGTAAAAATGAACTTGGGTTTCTTTCTTTTTCATTATTCTTGTGATTAATTGTTCTGATTTTATTGTTTTTCATTATTCTTGTGATTAATTGTTCTGATTTTATTGTTTTTCTTTATTTCAAAACTTTTGTTGTATTTAGTGTCTAAAAGAATATTGTGCTAACATGGCAGCTTCTTCCCAGAAGTCAAATTCATTTTGATATAAGGTGTCCTGAAATTCTTTTTAAGCCTTGAAAGAATACAAATTAAGGTCACAACATGTATCAGAAAGGTAGAATTTCAAACAGTTAAATATAACTTACATTTTCCGTTGTATCATTAACTTCTTCCTCCGCACTCTGAAGTTTGGTTATAACAGCTGCTCTTCTTAAGTTCAGATATTTAAGTCGATCCATAACTATCTAAATTTAAAGAATAAATGTTTAAATACACTGGCATTGGATTATCTCAAGCATCCTAAAACAGTGATGGGCTCATGGTTCAAGCCCATGCTCTCCCTGAAAGACTCACTAGAATCCTTGCTGGCTTCTTCTTGGCTTCTGGTGGTTTGTTGACAAACTTTATGAATTTCTTGGCTTGTAGGAGGGGGAACCCCAAAAGAACTGGAATTATCCTTTGGAGGGCGGGCCCCCTGTAGTACAGGTTTCCTCAGCTAGGTGATTGTTCTAGAAACCCATCAGCTTCTATGTACCAGCTAGCTTTGTTGTGAAAGGCTGTGTTCGGCTTCAGTGAATTTTTTTGGAAATTCTTTCAATGCATCTGCTCATTTCATGATGGATGATTTACACCACACGGATTGTTCAGCAGTTTTTGACCCAAACCAGCATGATCCCTGTGCCCTATCCTCCTTAATCACCCAGACTCACCCAAGCAACATTTTTTTGTTTCCCTGATGACAAAAATCCTAAAGTGGAAATGTTTTGCCAATGTGGAAGAGGTGAAACCAAAATATGGCAGAAGCACTAAAAGGCATCAAAATTGACAATTTCAAAACTGTTTTGAGCAGTGGAAAAAGTGTCTTGATGGGTGTATTGCATTCAATGGGGAGTATTTTGAAGGTGACTGAAGTTTAAACATGTCAGAATCAATACACAGTTGTTTACAAATAAATAAATTCCATTTTTGGGGGGGTCCCTCCCCCATATATATGCCACTGAAGTCTCTACCTGTGGTGTCACAGAGTCATCTTTCCCTGTGTGTCTGAGTCTCTTTCCCTAATCCAATCAGGATTAGGGCCCATCCTGATTCAGTATTACCTCTTCCCAACTGGGTTACATATGCAAAGACTTTATTTCCAGATAAGGTCACATTTGCAGGTATTGGTGTAAGGACTACATCATGTCTTTTTAACCCATAACAGTCTGCCCTTTGGCCCCCAGATATTCTTGCCCTTAGAGGTCTGGGTCCATAGGACCTCTCTGGGCAGAGGGAAGACAGCCAAGTGAAGTTGGAAGCAGACATTCGAGTTATGCTGCTATAAACCAAGAGATGTCTAGGGCCACCAGAAGCTGAGAGAGGCAGGGAAGTGTCCTTCCCTAGAGGTTTGGGAGGGAGCGTGGTGCTGCCAACACCTTGACTTTGGACTTTGATTTATTATTTATTTATTTGAGCCAGAGTCACTCTGTTACCCAGGCTGGAGTGCAGTGGCACAATCATGGTTCTCTGCAGCCTTGACCTATTGGGCTTGGGTGATCCTTCTGCCTCAGTCTCCCAAGTAGTTAGGACAACAGGTGCGTGCTACCATGCCCAGCTAGTTTTTTGATATTTTTGTAGAGATGAGGTCTTGCTGCGTTGCCCAGGGTGGTCTCAAACTCCTGGGATCTAACAATCCTCCTGCCTTGGCCTCCCAAAGTGCTGGAATTATAGGTGTGAGCCACCACATCCAGACCTGATTTTGAACTTTTAGCCTCCAGAACTGTGAGAGAATAAATTTCTGTCATTTTGAGCAACCAGTTTGTGGCAGTTTGTTATGGCAACCTTAGGAAACTATGTGGAAGAGTCTGGAAAAAAAGGGTGGGGGGGAAGCTGGCACATAGACTGTGAAATGAGAGATGCTGAGGTGGACAGGATCCTGCTGGTGTGGGGTGATTTGTGGTGGACTGTGTACATTGTTCACAGTTCAACCTGCCCTCCCTTCACTTGATAATCCCCTAGGTCACCGTAGGCGGAATACATGTCCTCACCCCATCAATGCTGGCTTCTCTCTGAAGCTTGCTCTGGCAAATGGAATGTGAGTGCAGTGTAGGATACCAGTCCTACCCAGAGTCTTAACAGGTTTACATATTCCAACCAGGCCTCTCAGAGCTTCTGCCTTCTACCTTGAGTAGTGTGTGTCCCAGGTAGTAAACAGTGGTAAAATCTTTTGAAAGGGCAGCCTCCCGTGTATGTTAATAGATGGAACATGGGATGTGAGAACGAGGGTGGCTAGTCAAATGTTTTTGACACTTACTGAGAGAGGAGAATTATGCGAGCAGCATATCTGGGCAGAGTGGTTGTGGTGGTGATAGTGGCAGTGGCGGTGGCAGTGATGTTGGCAATGATGGTGGTGGTGGCAGTGGTGGCGGCGGTGTTGATGGTGGTGGTGGTGGAGTTTTATCTTGTACACTTAAATCCGAGATGACTACTTAATATTCAACTGGTTATAGAGCAGTAGAGTGATGGTTGAGTATACACGTGTGAAATTGAGTAAAAGGGCCTGGGATAGTAACATGAATCTAATAAGAGTTGCCAATGTTGAGAAGGTAGCTAAACCTGTCGGACTGGGTGAAGCTTCCTAAGGAGTAGGGCAGACAGAGAGGCGCTCCCAGGAGTTATTTCTGGGGTCCTTCAATCCTAGAGGTTAGAGATGTGTGGGTTTTTTTTTCACTTTGACCATCCAAGCAGGTACGAACTTGTACCTCATTACAGTTTTGATTTGCATTTCCCCAGTGACTGATGATGTTAAGCATTTATGTGCTTATTGGTTGCCATTTGCTTTTTCTTTTCTCTGAGGCACTTTTTGTCACACAGAGATTTAAAATTCAAATGTAGTTTTGATTTAGCTATGGGCAGGCAAATAAACAGAATATCAGATTTATAAATGTCAAAACAAAATTTTCAAAACGAAATGGCATTAAAATGTAAACATATTTCTGTTTGTTAAAATAAGTACAACACTGTCCATGGATTTTTAGCCTTCAAACTACGAGGTACTCCTGAATCCTGCACTCACCAGGAAGAGCTCTTCCGGGGGTTTATTTCCATCCAGCTCGATAAGATACTGGGGATTGTGTTCAGCCATTACTTCCTGAAGATAACAGAAAAGAAACTTGATCATCTGGAATCACTGGGAAAACTGAACACAAGATCAGAATCTCAATACACTCTGAAGAAAACTTGAAAGTTAAATTGTTTGCCATATACATGCTATAATGTATGTGATTTTCATCACTCAAGAGATCTTTTGCAAAAGTCCAAACTAGTCCTCACACTATGAATCTTCTTCTCCTGTTTTTTCATTATTTTCTCTACACGATGCCTTTACACTCTTCCAATACATAATGTTTTGACTGCATATATGAGGTCCAACAATTAGGTTTGTGAATCATCCTAGAAAAAGTGCTATGTACCTCATTGGTGAATATCACTATGGTCACTTTCAAAGTACTCCTCTTGGGTAGCTATGCACCAATGCCAGTGCCTAGTCCACCAGTCAATACAATTTTGGAACTCTTTTTCTGGAATGGCCATCAGAGCTGTTCTTATTTGTTGAGGTCTGACAATTAAGTTAGCGAATTTGCCACTGTGCACTTATGTTGGCAGCACTGTACACTGTATTGGAACAATCGCCCTACTCATTTGATCTGACCCCCAATGACTTTTTTCTTTCTTTCTTTCTTTCTTTTTGAGTTGGATTCTCACTCTGTCACCCAGACTAGAGTGCAGTGGCCGCTCCGGGCCACCGTAGCCTGGACCCACTTGGCTCTGGCGATCCTTCCACCTCAGCCTTCCGAGTAGCCAGAATTGCAGGCATGCGCTACCACACCCGGCTGATTTTTTGATTTATTGTAGAGATGAGGTCTCGCTGCCCAGGTGGGTCTTGAACCCGTGGGCTCAGGCAATCCACTCACCTCAGCCTCCCAAAGGTGCAGGATTACAGGCTGAGCCACCGATACCAGCTGACTTTTTTCTTAACCTGAAGATAATGGTAATATTGGAAGGAAGATATTTGATGACCTTCAGGGTATCAAGGGTAATACAATGATGGCTCTGATGACCATTCCAGAAAAAGAGTCCCAAAATTGCTTTGATTGGTGGACTAGGAGCTGGTATCAGGGCATAGCTTCCCAAGGGGTGTACTTCAAAGATGACTGTAGTGATATTCAGCAATGAGGTACATAGCACCTAGTCCAGGATGAGTTTGTGAACTTAATTGATAGGCTTTATATTTGTCCATCTGCATACACTTGCAGTTTTGCTATCTGGTTTTGAAACTTTAGAGGAGTTTGACTAAAATTTAAGTTACAGACTTTCTTCATATAGATACTAACATAATTTTAAAAATACAACACTTAAAAATTATTTTAAGACATTTTTCTTGTAGAAAATTATATAAACAGAAAAGTAGAGAGGAAAAAGTCTCCAGTTCAGCCTCCCAAAGATAAGTACTATTCCTGTTTTCCTCTCATCTTTTATTCCATATAAAATTGCTTTGCGTGTTTGAGATCTGAATGCATACATAACTTTGGAGCTTCCTTTTTCACTTAATATTATAATTAACCTTCCCCTATACTTTTATAAGATGACTGCCAATACAACATTTTAATGGTTTTATGAGATTACTGTGGATATAGCACAATTTATTTTATGTTCCTCCACTGTTTGATATTAGGTTTGTTACAATATTCTATTAGTTGTTTTCAAGCCTTTCGTTTTATTAACGTTTAAAAAATTACACTCTTCTTCAATTATTACAAGAGTAACTTGGGCCAACTGCAACCAGTGAAGGAATACAGATGAGTGCACAGAAACAGTGAGCACGACCCCTACCTGCTCCTCCATGCTGTTCCCCACGCCCCAGCCAGGGGAGTCTCTTTCTCATCATTCTTCTTACTGATATAACTACATGCACACATATAAATGTTTGATAACACACAACACAAATCCTTCAGTATATCCTGATATACTGGATATATACAGAGGGTATCAAAAAATGTATACACGTTTTAAGAAAGGAAAAACCTGTATTAAAATTGTAATACTCAATATAGACCAATAACAAAAGATGAATACAAGTCACATTTGACTTCTGCAATTCCAAGAGGTGCTCAGAGTGGTTCCTATCAGCATCCAGACACTTCTGATGACGGCGAGAGACTGCAGGATTTGTTGCTGTGCGAGGCCTCCCGGACCTTCCCTTGTGTACATCACACATAGGACCATGTGTCTCCAACTCATCATGCAATTGTTAGGCATGTTGGAGGTTCTGTGGCATACTCACGCCTCCACTGTCCTTGTACTTCCACAACATTCTCGAATTTCAAATATCACTTCAAAATGGTTTTGTGCTCCTCAAATGACAACCATACTTCCATTTTTTGTGACTGTCCTGACTGTCATATGGTGATGCTAGCATTCATTTGATGAACACCATCTTTTGAGTGAACATCACACTATACATTGCTACCGTAATTCAATTCAACTTTGAAGAGTGATACATAGATAACATCGCTTAAAGTGTGTACATTTTTTGGCACCCTGTATATACAGATTTCTAAAAGTAGGCTTTATAACTAATACAGGAAGGTAATGCCAGTTGGTTTCTCAAAAGGTTGCAGCAATTTAAAATTCTAACCAGCAGTATATGATCATTTTCATTTTTTTCCTGTCACCACTGACTATTTTAGCTTTTAAATTGGAGCCAAACTGAGTTGAAAGTGGAATTGGTTTGTTTTACTTTTTATTCCTGTGGCAAGGTTGGGCATTCAGACTGGCATCTCTGTAAACTGTCTAATCATAACCTTTGTGCATTTTTCTATTATTGTGTGCATTTTCTATTAGGTTGTTTCTTTTCTCTAACATTCATAGAAAGTCTTTGACCCTTATCTGGCATATGGATTGCAAATATTTTACCTTTGTATGATTTATTTTTTGACTTTGTTTCTGGTGTCTTTTGCAACATAAAACATATTTATAATCAAATATATGTTTTCATTGTTTCTAGACTTTCTTTCTTAGATTTTTGAAAAAATCTTAAGATTATTTTAATAATCTCTAATTTTTTTCTAACTAGTTTTTTTCTTTTTTCTTTTTTTTTGAGTTGGAGTCTCACTCTGTCACCCAGGCTGGAGTGCAGTGGCATGCTCATGGCCACTGTGGTCTCCACCTGCTGGGCTCAGGCACCTCAGCCTTCCAAGTAACTGGAACTACAGGCACATAACACCACACCCAGCTAATTTTTTGATTTATTATGGAGACGAGGTATCACCAAGTTGCCCAGGTTGGTCTTGAATCCCTGGACTCAGGCAATCCTCTTGCCTCAGCCTCCCAAAGTGCTGGGATTACAGGCTTGACCACCACACTTGGCCTATTAGTTATTTTTACTGTTAAAATCTAAAATCTACTGGGTTTTTATTTTATATATCAACAATGTTGACTGTCTGAGCCCTGTGTTCCTGGAAAGTAGCGATAGCTGAGAAATAAGACCCACCTCCATCCTTCCTCAAGGATTCTGATAAAATTTGTCGTATTTTTGCTTTTCACAATATTGTGTGATGCTGGATTGTGTTTTCTTCTAGACCAGCAGTAGATTATACCAGCTTTATTCATTTAGCCATAAATAACCATGTTCTGACCAGGCAAGGCAAAAAGTTTCTTCTGTATTTTAGATTCTTTTCTTAAGCCAGAGTCAGTATCAAGAGTGAACTTACTAAGTCGTAGGATGTGAACACTCTCAAGGAAATGCATGTGTGCACCAAGAATTAAATCAGGAGTCAAAGACAGGCAAGAATGAGGACTTGGCTTTGGCTAGAAGCACTGCACAGGACATAAACCGGAAAGCCCTGCAACTTAGCGGGCTCCTGCTTGCCTTTGATGCTATCTCTTTTGGAGGCACACTGTACTTTGGTGGTCTTGGCCTTCAAGTGGAGTGACACCTTAGCCAGGTCAGAGGAGACTAGGACTGTAGGGCCTTAAGCCTTTATGGCCCTCTGCCACCTCTCTCTACTCACACCAGTGAGGACTGTTTTTCATCTTCATAGTTCTGTTGCTTAGCATAGTGTCTGACCAAATAGTCAAGTTTAAAAAATGTTTGTTGACTAAATCTCCAGTACAACTGACTACATTTTGCAGTTTCCCTGGATTATTTACCATGTAATATATGCTTTTCACATAACTGTAATTTCACTAATCGTACTTTTAAAATACCAATTATTTTAATTAAACCCTTCTTATATAATATGTAATGGCTTTATCATGTTTACGTATAATACACTTTGAATGGGATAACCATAGAAACTAATTTGGGGATAATAATTCTTTACATTGCCATTTAAATTAACAATTCCTTTTAGAACAAAACGTGCACCTTAAGTGCCCATTTGTTTTGATAAACCCATACACCCATAAATTACAGATTGAAAATACTTTTATAAAATAGTCTCTTTATAAAATTTTCCAGCCCACACCCATAAAGGAATCCCCCGTTGACTTTTGAAAGATGAAGTTCATTTACTACTTTTCAACGACAGATTTGCTTTGTAAGAGTAAAATAATATTGTGGGAAACAGCCGTGGGGATGGAAGCCTTTTTCTACCAGCTTTCTAGGAAGCTCAAGAGGAGAATCAGGCAGCTAATACATATGAATAAAAATATGTGAAAGTGATTTTAACCAGGGAGAAAGCTCAAATATCAACCTTTTCATTTTCAGCAATATAGCTTATCCTTACCTCTAAAGATTTGAGAATTGTTTCCTTATAAAGTTTAATAACGCTTTCAATATTTTCCAAATAATCCTCAGGCCTCTGAACCAGATGATGAAGAATCTCAGCCACCATCTGCATTTCGGCAATAAACGCCTAAGTGGAGAAGAGATTTTAGATGTCCTTAGGTTAATAATTATTCAATGTAAAAGCCACATTCCTCCCTCCTCACACCAAGATACCCTTCTGGGGTGAGAAGCAGGGGGAGGGGAAGATCAGAGACTGAGGACTTTTATTTAAGAGAGATTGAAGACTCTGGAGGAGTCTTTACCAGATGGAATGAAGCTTTAAACCAACTTGGATACTTACTACTTTCTTTTTGCTTCTCAATAAGTAGGGAAGATCACCAGATTTTTTTAGAGGAAAATAGAGAAACCAAACTTTCTCTGAATATTTGAGGTTGTAGCTCATTAATTCATTCACTAACTCATGCAGCATTTATCAACTGCCTCCCGTGTAACAGGCACTGTTTTAGGGACTTGGGATACAACAGTGAGCAAAACCAACTAGCACCCTGGGCTCATAGAGCTCACATTGCTGTTGAAGAAGACAGAGCATCAGCAAATAGGTAAATAACTAGATAGCATATTAGGCAGCTGTACGGACTGGGAAGAAAAAAAAGGAAGAGGGAATGATCGATGATGGGAGAGGGTGCTATTTTATATCAGGTGGTTATGAAAGTGTTCTCTGAAGAAGTGGCATTTGAGTTGAACCCAGAAGGAAATGAGAAAGAGTACTTGCTACACAGGTTTCTAGAGAAAGAACATTTCAAGGCAGAGGGCACAGTATGTGTGACAGCTCTCAGCCCAAGGTTTGGCACGAGATAAATGCTCCATGTCATATTTATCATCCTTATTATTCATTTGTTCCCATTTTTATCAGTCATTTTCACACACAAGTCATAATTTGAACTTGAAAGGAAGTTTTTGAATTTGAAAGTTTTTTGAAATTTGAAATTTTGAATTGAAATTTTGAATTTTGTTGAATTTGAAAGCAATAATTTGAATTTGAAAGCGTACTTTGAAAGCAAGTACATCATTTGAATAATATTATCTAGATAAACCATTTTATATTGTTTTAAACATTATTTTCTTTTTTTTTTTTTTTTTTTGAGTTGGAGTCTCACTCTGTCGCCCAGACTGGAGTGCAGTGGCCGCTCATGGCCACCGCAGCCTCGACCTGCTGGGCTCCGGCGATCCTTCTGCCTCAGCCTTCCAAGTAGACAGAATTAAAGGCATGTGCTACCACGCCCGGCTGATTTTTTTTGATTTATTGTAGAGATGAGGTCTCGCTGCTCAGGCGGGTCTCGAACCCGCGGGCTCAGGCAATCCACTCACCTCAGCCTCCCAAAGGCGCGGGATTACAGACTGAGGCACCGAGCCCAGCAACATTATTTCAATGGTCTAAAATAATGCATACATTTTCTTGAATATATGATTATTTGATCATTACGCTATTGTTGGAGAACAAGAATGTTCCAGCTATTTCACAATTATAAATAATGTTGCGATGGATAGCTTTGTATAATACATACATCTTTATATTGTTAATATTTCCCTTAGGATAGCTCCTAAAAGTAGAATTATTGGGCCAAAGGTGATATTTTTCAAAGTGGCTCAATACACATTGTCTTTTCCAAAAGATGCTGCCATTCTTTTCTCTCTAGCAGAGGGCTTTGCTAACATACTCACGCATTCATTTGGTCATTCTGCCACATCTTATTAAGAACCTATTGTCAGAGATATCGTCCCTGCTGCATGGAGCTTACATTCAGTGGGAGTAAACAGATAAAAATCAAGTGAAAGAATAATATCATTTCAGAAAGTAATAAGTGCTATGACGAAAACGAAGCAGTGCTGTTCAGCATGGCAGCCGTAAGCCGCATATACCTACTGACCATTTGAAACTTGCCGAGTGTGACTGGAACATGTGCTGTAAGTGTAAATATACTCCTGAGTTCAAAGACTTTGAATGAAACTTTAACATGAAAACAGAATGTGTCATTCTTAGAATTGTTATGCCGATTAAATTTTGAAATACAATTTTGGATATATTAGATTAAATAAATTATTCAAATTACTTTTGCTTATTTCTTTTTTATTTTAAAAAGTGAGACTAAGGCCAGGTGTGGTGGCTAACACCCGTAATCCCAGCACTTTGGGAGGCTAAGGCGAGTGGATTGCCTGAGCCCAGGGGTTCAAGACCAGCCTGGGCAACTTGGTGAGACCTCGTCTCTACACTAAATCAAAAAATGAGTCAGGCAAGGGGGCACACACCTGTGGCTCCAGCTACTTGGAAGGCTAAGGTGGAAGGATCATCTAAACCCAGCAGGTCGAAGCTGCGATGGCTATGATTTTGCCACTGTACTCTAGCCTGTGCAACAGAGTGAGAATCCAACTCAAAAAAAAAAAAGAGAAAGAAAGAAAAAGAAAAGCATGCCTACAGCACTTTGGGAGACTGAGTTCAGAGGATTGCTTAAGGCCAGCTAGAGCGAGATCTCATTGCTACAAAAAATTTTTAAAAAATAATAATCTGGGCATAGTAGTGTGTGCCCATAGTCCCAGCTACTTGGGAAGCTCAAGTGGAAGGATAACCTGAGTCTAGGAAGTCGAGGCTGCAGTGAGCCATGATCGTGCCATGGCAGTCCAGTCTGGGTGACAGAGTGAGACTCTGGTTCAAAATAAATAAATAAAAATAAAATAAAATATGTGACCACTAACAAATTTAAGATCACATACGGCTCATATTATGTTTCTATTGCATTGCCCTGGGTTGAAATGTCACTTACTGTGTGGTCTCTGAGGGTGTAGTATCTGGGGTGAGACCAGGGTGAGGAGAAGGAGCAGTCACGTGAAGACAAATGAAAGTGTGGGCAGAGGAGAGAAGACAGGAAGTGCAGTGGCTTGTAGTGGGAATCTGTGCTTAGCACAGATGAAGACTAGCTAGAAGGCTAATGTGGCCGGAATACAATGAGCAGGCAGGGTCAAGGTCAGGGAGGCACAGGACCATGGCCCAGGAAGCCAAGAGCTAGAGGGTGCTTGGATTTTCATCTAAAGGCAATGGAAAGTCACTGAGGATTATATGAAGGGGGACCCAAAACTCCCTGGAATTTGTTGATTAAAAATTGTGTATTTATTCTTACATGCTTAAACTTCAGTCACTTTCAAAGTACTCTCCGTTGAATGCAATACACTTATCGGGACCCTTTTTCCACTGCTCAAAACAGTTTCTGAACTCGTCAGTTTGGATGCCTTTAGTGCTTCTGCCCTTTTTTGTTTCACCTCTTCCGCATCGGCAAAATGTTTCCCTTTGAGGCCTTTTTTCATCCAGGGAAACAAAAAAAAAAAGTCACCCAGGATAAGATCAGGTGAATAGGGAGGGTGGGACATGGGGGTTATGTGAATTTTGGTCCAAAACTGCTGAACACTCAGCAAGGGGAGGGCAGATGCACTTGTAAATTACCTGTCATGAAATGAGCAAACACATTGAAAGAATCTCCAAAAAAAAAATTTGCTAAAGCTGAACACAGCCTCTCATAGCAACACTAGCTGATACACTGGTGCTGATGGGGTCCTAGAACACTTACCTAGCAGGGGAAGCCTGTACTGCAAGGGGCCCACCCTCCAAAAGATAATTCCAGTTATTTTGGGGTCCCCTAATATTTTTTAAAAAATTAAGTCTGGCTTCTGTAAAGAATGGAATGGGATGGAGAAGGTTGAGGAGAATGGAAGCCGAGAGAACATTTACAAAGCTATTGCAGCGACTCAGGGAGGTTGTTTACATCTGTGTGTAGGTAGGAGGAACACACTTTCATACAGGACTGGTCACTGACCCGAGCTGGCAACTAGTCTACCTATCTCACTTCTGATGTGGCTGTGTTCCCAGCAGAGATCAAGCAAGCCAGTCCCCAGAGGCTGAGTCTACTTTACGAACATAAATTGATCATCTCCTACAGTACTGGTCTACACTGGGTTTTAAACATTTTAGAGGAATTGCCCACTCCATGTATTTTTTACATCCTGATTTTTGGCTTCTCTAGGAAAATTGGCCTCCTTGGTAAAAATGGACCAGGCTTCCCACACAGCAACTGTTGGCTGGGCTGAAGCCGTCCAATGAGACTTGCTGTGGTAATGGAAATGTTCTGTATCGTATTGTCCAATTAGGAAGTCACAGCCATATTTGGCCACTGAGCACTTAAGATGGGGCTAGTGGCCAGGCATGGTGGCTCACACCTGTAATCCCAGAACTTTGGGAGGCCATGGCCGAAGAATTGCTTGAGCCCAGGAGTTCAAGATCAGCCTGGGTAACACAGGAAGACGTCATCTCTACAAAAAATCAGAAAATTAGCTGGGCATGGTGGTGCACACCTCTAGACCCAGCTACTTTGGAAGCTGAGGTAGAAGGATCACTTGAGCCCAAGAGGTCAAGGCTGTAGTGGCCATGAGTGTGCCACTGGGAGATAGAGTGGACTACAACTCAAAAAAAAAAAAGAAAGATACATGTGGCTAGTGCTACAAAGGAGCTAAATTTTAATTTTTTCATAATTTAAATTTAAGTAGCCATGTGGAGCTTGTGGTTACCATATTGGACAGTGCATCCCTAGCCCACCCTCGCCCTCACTCTTCCTGAATATATTCCTGGCCAATATCACCAACTGATATAATCCATCTGGCCCCTGAAATTAAGTGCGTCCTGACCCCTGTATCTCACCCATATGAGTGCTATGTTGACTTAAGATGGTATGCTTTATTCATGCTAAAATGACAAGCTTTATTCCTATTTGCTATGATGTTTTCCTTTCTTTTAAAAAATCTGGTTTCGATGCTGGTCATTAGCGCATGGCTTTTTTCACAGGTGAGATTATTTTATGTTTTTAAATGAGCTTTATGATGTTAACAGTTTTTTTTTAGTAAAAGACTACATTTCAAAGATTTATTTATCTAATTAGTGAGGGAACTGGCAGGATGGCACAGAAGTGTTTCTAATCACTGAAATAAGATAGTAAAGTTAGATACGAGGCTGCTTAATGTCCTGTAGGTAACCTCTGGGGGATTTTTCTACTGGACAAACAATTTGCAATGTATTCACCTGTAAATTAACACCCAAAACTTCACAGAGTCTAGGCCCTAATAGAAACAGTTAATCACAGGCACATTTCACTAGGGAAGGGATTGGCAAGCCATGGCCCATCCCTCTCTGGTGGGCCAAATCCAGCCCAGCCCCTGTTGATAGATTTCTTAATATGAATTTTCCCCCTTTAAGTCATGGAAAAAGATTCATTTCATGCCCTATTGCAGTATGTTTAATAGTATTTACTTCAGGATTTTTTTTTGAGTTGGGGTTTCACTCTATTGCCCAGGCTGGAGTACAGTGGCATACACGATCAAGCTCACCACGGCCTCGACCTCCTGGGTTCAGACGATCCTCCGATCTCAGCCTCCTGAGTAGCTGGGACTATAGACATGCACCACCACACCCGGTGAATTCTTTGATTTTTTTTTTTGTAGAGACAAGGTTCTGCTATGTTGTCTAGGCTGGTGTTGACCTCCTGGACTCAGGTGATCCTCCTGCCTTGGCCTCCCAAAGTGCTGGGATAACAGGCAAGAGCCACTGTACTCAGCTACATTAGGGTTGTTCTAATAATATGTACATGTGAAATAGGGCAATAGATGTCTTTTCATATGCTGTCTTTGTAAGAGTTTCAAATCATGGTTATGTTAGCATCACAGATTGAGTGATGTCCGGGGTGCTTTCCCATATTACACTTTGTGTTTCATTGTTCTGCTCTGGTTTGAATATTCGTCTCTTCCAAAACTCTTGCTGAAATTGAATTTCCAGTGTGGCAGTATTGAGACACAGGGTCTTTAAGAGGTGATTGGGTCACAAGGGCCATGAGGGACTAATCCGTTCACAAATTCATGGGTTAATGAATAATGGGTTATCATGGGAGTGGGATTCCAAGAAGAGAATGAGAGACCCGAGCCAGCATGCTCAGCCTTCTTGCTGTGGGATGCCTCATGCCGCCTGGGGACTCTGTGGAGAATCCACACCAGCAAGAAGGTCCTTACCAGATGCAGCCCCTCAACCTCAGACTTTCCAGTCTCCATAACTGTAAGAAATACATTCTTTTTCTTTATAAATTACCCAGTTTCAGGTATGTTTATAAGCAACAGGAAATAGACTAAGACATGCCCCAAATCCTCATTCAAGCTTGCCTAGTGCTTGACATGTAGTAGGTAATCAAGAACTCTGTTGCCATGAAATGAAACGGACCAGTGATCAATATGTCAGAATGGAGAGGGACTACTATACTGACAGGAAGGTTAAACTTGACTTCAGGAGACTGATCTCATAGTTCTTAAAATATGAAATATTTTTGCTTACTTCCTCCAGACCCAATACAAATGTAAACAGAAAATGTAATGTCTCCACTATCTGCTATTTCTTCTTTTCTTTCTTTCTTTTTTTTTTTTGAGTTGGAGTCTCACTCTGTCACCCAGACTGGAGTTCAGAGGCCGCTCCCAGCCACTGCAGCCTCGACCTGCTGGGCTCCAGCAATCCTTCTGCCTCAGCCTTCCAAGTAGCTGGAACTACGGGCACACACTATCACGCCCGGCTAATTTTTGACTTATTGTAGAGATGAGGTCTCGCCAAGTTGCCCAGGTGGGTCTCGAGCCCGCGGGCTCAGGCAATCCACTCACCTCAGCCTCCCAAAGTGCTGGGCTATCTGCTATTTCTTATCATCCATGCTATCATTTCATTTAATTATAGCAAATGTTAAAAGCAGAGTAAATGGTCATTACTTATTGTGATATTACCTCTTCCTCTTCCTGTTCTTCTTCCTCTTCTCCCTCCTCTTCTCCTTTCCCGTCTTTTTGGGCTTCTTTCTTCTTTTTCCTACGACTCTCAATGACTTCAGGATCCCACTGGTCTCTGGTGTATATGTATCCTGTACTGCTATGTTGTCTTTGCCCAGAAATTCTTTGGCATAAATTGTAGTCAGGGCACTAAGGAAGAACATTGTTAAATCATTTAGAATATGTTTATAAGTCCATGTGTATTTGCTGCGTACAGTATGTAATACATAAATCAAAAAATCCCTTGAAAATTGAGCAAATGCAATACTGTGACTGGCATTTTGTATCAAGTTTCATTACATGCCAAAAGAGACAAGACACAACGTTTATGCTATGCCAATATTTTTATTTGTCTGACATTAATATATGCGAGAAAGCATTACAAGCGCCTAGAATACCCGCATTCTGGGTCCTCGACAAGGACTGTGGCTTTCAGCTGGCTTCTGTGTTTACTGGTAGGAAGTGATTATAAGGATGGGTCCGAAGAATGTGCCTCAGAGCAGTGGTCCTCAAACTCTAGCAGGTATCATTGTCACCTGGAGGGTTTTGCAACACCAATAGCTGGGCACCAATAGCTGCTTCTTAGTTCTAGACTGGGGCTGGAGAATGTATATTTCACACAAGCTTCTGGATGCTGCTAACACCACTGGCTCTGGGACTACACTCTGAGATTCCTGCTCCAGTAGATCACTGGTCCTTGACCTTCATCTATGATGAAGGAGATAGGCTTCTGCTTCAAGAAAATGTACCTACTTATACAATTTTGCATATAATTTCAGGCGGCTCATGGGTATTCAGGGATTCATATGTCCCAACTAAGAACTTCTACTCTATAATTTCCTAGTTTATCCCCAAATACAGTAAGTCCTCTACATATGAACCTTCAAGTTACAAACTTGAACAATGCACACATGCTTTTTTTTTAGTATTATTTCTCTCCACCAAGCATCAGGATAGCCCATTAAATACATACAGTACTATATAGCCAATTGTGTTAGTTGGGTACCTAGACTAATTTTGTTGGACTTATGAACATGCTCTCAAAAACAAACTCATTCATATATTGGGGATTTCACCATCAAAGAAGTGTATTGCACTGAGCTGTGTTTACATTAGGCCCTCTGATTACTCTTTTCCTTGTAGAAACTCTCTTAGGACACTCATTATCACACTTATAACATAAGTGAGGTTAAGGATTTCATTCACTATGTGAAGCAGTCTCTTATATTAAGATCCACAGAAGAGATCTCTCTTACCTTTAATGCGAGTGTTGTTTTTCCTAAGGAATGGCCTGTCTTCATAGACCATGTGAATTTTATAACTGGTCACTTTCTCCTTTTTCTTTTTGGGCCCATCAAACTTAGAAGCAAATTTATGAGCCAAGTTAGTAAGCACTGGGGTCTTCTGGACTGTGTATCTGTGTGCTCTCTATCTTTCTACCAGGTCGTTCACTCCTGCTGAATTTATCTTTTCTGGCTTAGGCTTATGTTTGGTTTCAGTGAATTGTTGGAGGTTGTCTCTTCTCTCTGTTGTGCACACGTTCACAAGTGCGACAGTCTCAAGTTCATTTGTGATTTGGATTGGTCCCGGCCATGGGCTGTGACTGGGGCAGCAGATAACACTGCCAGGACCCCTCTCTTACTGCTGACCCTGTTATCCACTCGTCCCAACATCTGAGCTGAGAACCGTCCAATTTATTTTGAGTTGCTGTAAAACCTTTGGGGAGCCAGGGAGGGTATGAATACAAAAGCTTTTCATTCATTTTCACATAAACAGGTAGACGTTGCCCTACTGAATTCTGATCACAACTCCATGGGGGCAGCTATTATTACCTTTGGAAAGAGGAAATTGAGGCTTCTAAATGTGATTTATCACATTTTAATAAGTTAATAAAGGAGAGAATAAGAACAGGACTCACTCCTGACTCTTAATTATGTCATAGTGTCCTTCAACATTCCTATGTCCAAGTATATTCTTTCATTATATTAAACTGGCAAACTTATGACTGTCACAGGTACCATAGAGTGCACTAGTTAATGTTTATATGAGTAAGACATGGTTTCTACCTCCAAGTATGACAGAGAAAGAGATGATGCCTGAACTGCCTTTCAAAGATGGCTGTGATGATCCCTAGTGAAGAAGCAAGGATGGGTTTCCTGTGGATGGAGCAGCTGGAGCCAGAGCACAGAACTATGGGAGAGACGACTTGGTCCCTGTGAGGGATGTGTACATTTCTGAGTAACCATAACTACTTAAAAGCTTTAAAACATGCTTTAGATTTAAATACTATAAAAAAGAATGGTTCACTAGACTGGAAAAACAGTGTCCTTACCTTAATATTGATGATAATATCAGGTTTCAAATTTAAGTTTTTAATTAATTCTATTTGCTGCAAAGTAGTCATGGCGTCCTGTGAAAGTGATGGCACTTCAGTGATAATGTAACCTGTAGAGTAAAACATAACTTTTAAAGTTTTATAGTACAGTCAATATATGACAGCATGGGTTTATTGTTATTACTTGATCAAATATCATCTAGTTACAGTATTGATGACTATCAATGCAGATCATAAAATCTGCCAAAAATTTTTAAATGAATGCTTATGGTTATTGCCCCATGAAGTATAAACTATGAATAATGTTTTTTCTGATAATAATCATTGGACTAGGAGGAGACTTTTGTTCCCCCTTTTTATTTTTGTAAAGATGGGGGTCTCACTATGTTGCCCAAGCTGGTCTTGAACTCCTGGTCTCAAGAGATCCTCCTGCCTCAGCCCCCTGAGTAGCTGGAACCACAGACGCATGCCGCCACACCCAACTCAAAGGAGGAGACATTTAAAAAAATTCCAAGTCAATTTATTTTAGGCAGATGAGGTGCTCAGGGAAGAAAATCCTGCTAGCAATTTTAACTCCTATTAGGGAAGCTCATGAGATGAATAGTAAAGGCATATTATAGTGGGTGCATGGTCTGTTATTTTCTTCCTTAAATTAATATTTCATAAAAGAATGGAATATATATGTATATAATGTTTATGTAAGTTATGAGAGTCACAAAACACCCATGTACCCACTATAGTTTAAGAAACAGAACATTATCCTCTGATTTTGGCTTAGCATGTTTATTGGCTTTTATCCCCACCCAGAAGCCCAAATCTTCCCTGTGAAATTTGACATTTACCTTCACATTAATCTCCTTGACATATCTCTTGGGTTATGTTACTCTCTTGCTCAAGAAACTTTTCCTTTATTAAAAAAGTCTCAATTCCTTCAGTGGGAATTAAAAGCCTTTAGTCTATTCTTCTGCTATTTTCATGGAACATTTTTCCTTGGAAGAACAACTGGGCCACCACCGTATGTTCTTTTAGCCTCGGATATTTAGCAGAAAAGTTCTAAGAAGTGAATGGAGCAAGCCTGTCACTTCAAGGACAACAGCTGATAGTATTTGGGGCCAGTTATAAAATTCGAGTGAAAATGTGAATTTAGAAAAACATGTATTCACTACCATAAACTTAGGAACTTCCAAATTCTTAAAGTTTTCTTTGATAAGATTGGTCGTGAGATTAACAAAGTGACTTTTTAATATTGTATAATGAAATATGTCAACATTTGGAAGATCTGCATAACTCAGTAAACCAGTATTTTCCAAATGACCAATGCGTGGTGCCATAAAATCATGCATAGGCTATAGACAGACTCAACCCAAGTGCCAGATAGACCAATGGATTTCAATTTAACAGAGTTTGAAAAGTTCACTGATAGGATTCCAGATTCTGCAGTGCAACCAATCTTCAAGAAAATTCTACTTGTTGAGTTTGATGTAAAATCAAGAATAGCCACATTTATTTCACAGGTTATTAAAATACTTCTGCCTTTTCCAATGACATGTTTGTATGAAGCTGGATTTTCTTCATGTACTTCAATGAAAGCAACATTTTGCAACAGATTGAGCAGAAGCAGATGTGAAAATCCAACTAGTTTTTCCCTTAAGCTAGACATTGAAGAGATTTGCAACATAATTATTTGGGTAGGCATGGTAGCTCATTCCTGTAATCCCAACACTTTGGGAGGCTCAGATGGGAGGATTGCTTGAGGCCAGGAGTTCAAGATTAGTCTAGGCAACATATAGAGACCTCATTTCTACCAAAAAAAAAAAAAATTGCTGGGTGTGGCTGGGCATGGTGGTGTGTACCTGTAGTCCCAGCTACTTGGGAGACTGAGGCAGAAGGATAACTCGAGCACTGGAGGTCAATGCTGTGGTGATCCACTGCACTCCAACCTCAGCAACAGAGTGACACCCCCAACTCAGAAAAAAAAAAAAGGAAGGGTAGATGGAATTAATACAAAAAAATATTATTTTTCAAAAAATATTCTATTTACTAACAAGTAGTGGTTTTGCTATCTTTAAACAGATAAACATTTTTAAAAGTCTCAGCTTTAATTTTTTAAACTCTATTTTGTTATAAAGATTTGGGGCACAAGTCAGGATTTGGTACTTAAGAAGTCTGTGGCAGGTGAAGTTTGGGTCTCCAACTGGTCCTCCCTTCCCCTGGCTTAGGATCAGGTACCCTTAGTGATGATATGTGCCTGACAGTGTCACACTACTGCTGATCCCTCTCTTGTATTGTCATAAATGTTAGGACCCACTTCTGAGTGAGAACACGTGGTACTCAGTTCTTTGTTTCTGTGATAGACCACGGAGTATGATGAACTCTAAATCCATCCAAGTTGCTGCAAAGTTCATAACTTTGTCCTTTATGGCTGCGTAATACTCCATTGTGTATACGTACCACATTTTCTTTATTAAGTCCACTTTTGATGGGCAGCACACTTGGTTCCATGTTTTTGCTTCTTGTGAATAATTCTGTGATAAGCATGCATGTGCCAGTATTTTTTTTTGTAGAATGATTTGAGTTCCTCCAGGTATATTTCCAGGAAGGGGACTGCTGCGTTGTATGGAAGGTCAATTTCTAATTCTTTTAAAAATCACCACATTGTTTTCCATAGAGGTTGAACTAGTTTGCACTACCACCAACAGTGTAGAAGTGTTCCTTTTTCTCCATAAGTTTTAATTTCCAAAATGGTAAATATTAATAGATATAATCCATACAAACACAAGCTCTTATGGGGCCTCAACAATTCTTATGTGTTTACATCAGAGAGTCTTGTGACCAAAAAAAAAAAAAAAAAAAGGAAGGGTAGACGGAATTAATACAAAAAAAATTATTTTTCAAAAAATATTCTATTTACTAACAAGTGGTGGTTTTGTTATCTTTAAACTGATAAATATTAAAGAATCATATAAAGTCAGTAACCAAGCATCTGTTGACAGGTGAAAGAGTGAATGTGTCTAGTCGACCTAAAATTCTCCACTTGAAAACATGCTGATTGCTGATTACAATCCTTTATTTCAAAAAAACAGACCAGCAACCATCACAGTCATTTGAAATCCAATGACATACTTAGGCATGTACCAATTTCTCCTGTGGGTTTTTTTCAAACACTTTACTTTCTTCTAACAATGTGTTGGGCTCTATCCAGAGAAGCAATCCTAAGTAATTTAACGCCAAAGGCAGAAGGGAAGACCTTGGTATTTTGGTTTGGGATGTTTGAGCTATGACCATGATTCTCTCCGTTTTCCTCTGATCCTTAGTTTCCAACTGGGCTTACTTCTGTGCTCCTGTTGCTGTTGTCTTAGAAATGATGTGGTGTGCACAAGGCATCTGTCCTATGTGAGGTTCATTAAGTGAGCTCTGCACTTCTGCAAAATCATAGCCAATGCCTGCATGTCTCAGGAGTAGGCCAGACCTTCCTCTGCTGCCCTGTTCCTCGCTTCGTTTTCCTGGCTCCCACTCCCCTTGTCTCGTTTTGTCATCTTCACTCTTGGTGTTGGACAAGCCACTGCTTGATCAACAATCTTACTGGAAACTGTTTTCAAAACTGACCAGGACCTCTTACGGGATGTGACAGTGGCATGAACCCCTGGTCCGACACATACGTGATGGTGGGTACTGCAGTGACAGGGACTACGTGCCCAGCCCTGGACAGAATTCAACCCTTGCCCAGCTCACTCCTCTGGATTGGGCAATTCCAGAGGCCATCTGCCCCCAGAGTCCACGCTCTCTCCTGTGCAGGCGACACCACCCAACACCAAGCGGATTACAGAAGGATGCCGGCACTCCGTTTGCTGTGCTCTCCAACTCTTGCCTGCTACTCAACTGCTGCCCCAGCCTAGAAAGCTCATCCAACATCCAAGTGTGACTGTTTGCAGGGATGCTGCATTTCAGGCGGACTTGTACATTTGAATGAATTTCATCCTTGGCCTCTTTCATGGTGAGAACAGCAGAAGAATGGCTTGTTTCCAAGGGACCTGGCTCTTTTCCGAGAAGCCATTATTTGGTCTGCCTCAGTGTGCTGAGCAATGAATTTTTGGGCTCTACCCACTGCGAGGTCTAATATCATCACATTCAGAGCCCACATGTGATGAGCCTATGAGAGGTGGTGTGTGATAGACACAACTATGTCATTTGAGTTTGTCTCAACCCTGCCACGTGGATGAACCTAGTGCCCTAGACCCAGTTCTGGGAAGACCTCAGGGAACACTGCTTGGTAAATGGGCCAGCGTTGCTGAGTCTGCTGTCAACCTCTCCAATTCCAGAGACACGTGTGAGGATGAAAGCACAGATGGGAATGCCCCCTGATCTCATCTCCTTGAGACCATTGCCACTTCCTTGTCCTTCCACGCTGAGGATGGAGGGACAGTGGGCCCTATGCCACTCCTCCCTGGAGTGAGAGGCTCTGCATGTGCTATCATAGGCAGAGGAGGCACTCACAGTCACTGCCCAGCCTTCACCATCCAGCTGCTGGAAAACTGAAAGACTGGCCAGACCACTCCCCAGAGGAAATCAGTGGGCCCAGGCCCAGGCAATGACTTTGCCCCCATTTCCTGGCACAGTGGGAAGGAGAAGGTATTCCCTGCTTACATAACCCTGAAGATGCAGGTTACTGCTTTCAGATCAAAGTGATGAGAGATTTAGGGGCATCAGGTAGCTTTGTGTCCTGCTAGTCCTGTTACCCATCTGACCTTGAGCGGGCCTGACATGAGTGGATACATTGGTGATCAGTAACTTGCAAGACCATCTACAATGTGACACACCTGGGACAGGGAATGTCCAGAGGGGCTGTTTACCATCCACTGGGGAGAACGGGTCTTTCAGAATCTAGAAGCAGGAAGCAGAGAGGAGATTTCAGGATGCTCAGGCATGGATTCTAGCTTTTTCTCTTGCATGAGGGTACAGTTCCTAGAAGGTGATTTTGCTTAAAGGTCAAAACAACATGATAGATTGTGAATGAAAATATTATAATTATAGGTTGTGTGGGTTCTATCTATCTATCTATCCTATTTATTTTTTGAGATAGGGTCTTGCTCTGTTGCCCAGGCTGAAGTGCAGTGGCACAATCATGGCTCACCGCAGCCTCAACTTCCTGGGCTCAGGCTATCCTTCAGCCTCAGCCGCCAAGTAGTTGGGATTACAGATGTGCACCACCTTGCCCTGCTAATTTTTAATTTTTTTGTAGAGACAAGATCTCACTACGTTTCCCAGGCTGGTCTCGAACTCCTAGGTTCAATTGATTCTCCTGCCTTGGCCTCCCAAAGCACTGAGATTACACGCATGAGCCACTGGTCCCAGCCAGGCTCTTTTTAAGTAGTGATGGAATCCCCGAGTATGAAAGAAACAGAAAAATGTTAAAATGGAATTTGGTAATCCTCTTCTGTGCAATGCCCTGGAAGCACACACCTCTCTTTAGGAATCTTGGAGTCATCAATTATCCAGCCTCACCCAGTCCCTGACTTGAGTTTCTGTCCCTGTTTTGAAAGCCCTTCACTTTCAATTTCGCTTCTACTTCTGATGAGAGCAAACATCAGAATGAAAAACCTTGCTGGGAATTTGACAAGAGATATTCAAACTATGTTATAGCATAATACCAGGTTCCAAAAATTTCTTTTGGAGATGCTACAGGATGGGGGGGGGTGTCTGGGAGCTGGGCAGAAGGGGCCCTGAGTCCTGTCTGGAACGTGAGCATGCCAGCAAGTGGTGAGAGTGTGGCCCCAGACTGGAGAAATCACTGGTCTCAGTCTTCTTCCACCAGCTCCCAGAGCAAACACCAGTATTCAGGCGGTACTGGGGACAGAGGGATATACTGAATGATACTAGAGGGTGCAATCAGCCAAGTCCAGAATGGGGGAAACTCTACAACACAAAAGACCAACTTCTTCAACAAAGAAAACACAAGAAGATAGAGAGAGGTAGAGGTAGCTTGTAGATTAGAAGACTTGAGACATATCCATCAATTGCAGTATGTGAAAGTTGGTTGAATCCTATGTCAGTAAAAAATGAACAAGTTAAATAATAATTAAGAAAAAAAAAAACCCTATGGGTGAAATCTGACCATGGTTAGTAGATGATATCAAGGAATTATTATTAATTTTAGGTGTGATAATGGTAATGTGACAGTAGGTTTAAGAGTTCTTATCTTTTGGAGATACATACTGAAAAATTTACAGATGAACTACTATGGATTAGCTTCCGAACAAAATAGGTCGGGAAATGGGGGTAGGGAGAGGTGTAGAGGAAACAAGGTCAGACAAGGTTGTTACTGTTGCAGCTGGGTGATGGAGTCATGTGGGGAGATCTTTATTAATCTTGACTTTTGTTCAACTTTTTCTCTAAAAAAATTTTTTTAAAGATTAGGAACACTGCAAATGGCACCAATGAATAAGTTTCCTTTTTCATGTTTTTTTCTTTCTTCTTTTGCCAATACTCATAGTGCATGCCATTCTTTTTTTGTAGTCATGTAAATCACTCTAAAATTTTCAAGAGGTAAGTGAAATATAAACAAATTGGTGTTTACTTAACGACTTATGTACCTATATAATTGCTTCGGTTTCAATGACCATGCTTCTTGAGGTCACTGGCCTATTGGGAATACTGAGATCATCTTTGCACTCATCTAACTTCCCACATTCTGAGTATTTCTCCCAAGTTCATTCTCTTTATCATAGATAGATAGACAGAGACAGAGACAGAGACAAAGAGAGAGAGAGAGAGAGAGAGAGATACAGATAGATGGGTAGCTTACAGGTGAAATCTTATCTACTTATATTAGAATGTATTCATATTTACATGTATTTATAATCCATATATAATCAATATACATACATATGTATTATATATAACCATAGACGATAGAGATATGTCTCTATAGGTGGAGAAATTTCATTCTATATACGTATCACTGTATAGAGAGATATTTACAGATATAGACCACAGAGAGTTGGCACTGACAAGTCTGCCTTTGCTACTTCTAGTATTGACTTGCATGGACAGTCGTGGTTTTTACTCCACTGCACTTTACTTTTATTCCTGCATTCTTAATAGAATTTACTGAGACTATAAAGCAGCTTTCTAAATTTTTCTTCTTTCATTCAATAAATCTATTTCAAGTGGACAGTTTTCTCCCAAGCTCATCTTTATTCTTCTTCCCTTCTTTTGCTGGTGTCTTAGAGTTCGCTCTGTTCTTTTTAGTTCTTTAGAGCTTCGGTGGTCTTTGTCTTGAGAAATTAGACTCTAAGCACTTGCTCAGCATCCATTAAGTGCAGGGAGGCTTTTCAGGTCCAGAGGGTCTACTGAGATCCAGAGCCAGAATGCAAGTCGGTGCCCTTCCAGTTCCCATTCCTGCCTTGTAGGTGTGGGTCAAGGCAGAGAACCCCAACCCTTGACAGGATGGAGTGATAAAACTCAGGGCGAATGGGGAGGCCATCAGCAGAGACTGGCAGCCCTGCATGACAGACTGTAGCAGATTTTTGATGCTTTTGTCATATAACACAGTGTCAAATAAGATTGGGTCATACAAAAAACAAACGTACTCCAGATTGTACGTTTGTTTAAAAAAACAAACGTACAATCTGGAGAATAAAATCAGACAAGCAAATAAAACTATCTGAACTGCTCAACTGAATACAGATACCCAGAATCTTATGTCAAGGCAAAAAAAAAAAAAAAAAAAAAAGCAATTTCAGAGTCTATTTGTACCTCAGATAAAGCCTGAGTTTTAGAGCTGCTTTGTGGGTTGTAGATGCCTAAGAATGAACATACCAAAGTGAGAGACTTCAGGGGAGTTGAGCTTCTCCAGCATTAGCTTTGTGACAAGTTCATCCGGAATGCTTTGACCTCTGGTCAGCATTGACTGCAACTGAAAACAGGCAGAGATACTGTATATTACTGTATAACAGATTTGTGTTGCAGGACTTCTTTTGTAATCATATTAACTTTAAAATTTAGGCTTGTTTACCATAATTCCTGATTTGGTTTCAGCAGCAATATGTTCTTCCAAAACCAGTAAAGCTAAAACATGAATTCAAAATATTAGTACAGACTGGTTTGAGGATTGCCAAAATAAGAAACACATTTGAGTGTCTTGTAACTAACTGGTAACTAAGATTAACATTCGTATAACACTTTAGAATTTACAAAGCAGATTCATGCACATGGTGTCATTTAAGTATAACCAGAGTCGAAGCAGCAGAAGGTATTCCACAGAGAACCAGTCCCTGCCACTCACTAGCTTAACAGTCTTGGAGGAGCTAACTCTATGACCACCTCTGCATCTTGGATGCATATGCCCCATGTAGCATACACCAGAAGGTAAGGATGGAAAGAGGTGGTATACCTCACAATGACTTCTAAATTGTAAAGTTTTGTATAAGTTTACACTAGTATTATTAGTCCAGTTATGTTTATAACCATATAGTTGAAGTCAAAGCCCACAAACCTTACACACTGATTATATAAAAAGGTCACGCATCAAGAAATGTTAAAATGGGTGAATGCTGGTTAGAGAGAGGGGTCTTGCAACTGATATTCTAATGATTTGTTTTTTGTAAGAGGAAATATACTAGCCCTTGATGGAAGATATCTTGGGAGAGGAATGACAGGGGTATGGCACAGGGAAGATCCAAGAGCTAAATTATGTCACTAGCTGTTCATAACTATAGGATGCTTGGTATTCTTTAAGATTTCTTAAAAATGAGTTTGTTTTTTTAATCAAAGAAAGGGGAACATTTGAGAGAGAGAAAGAGAGAGAGAGAGAGAGAGAGAGAGAGAGATGCTACCAAATTTTCTCCAAAAATTTGTACCAGATTGCAATTTGACTAAGAGCATGTGGAATGCCCAATTAATAACATTTTTGCCAACAGTGATTGTAGGAATTTTAAAGAGCTACTGCCAGTTTGATAGACAAATATGGATCAGTGTTATTTTAAATGAAGTCAAACTCTTTTTTCTTATGCTGTTTATTTTTGTTTCTACTTTAATGAATTGCCTATGCATTCTTTTCCTTATTTTTCTATGAAGGCATTAGCAGTTTTATTGATTAAAAGAATACCTATATACAAAGATATCAACCCATTGTCTTATATATTGCAAGTTTCAAGAAAATTTATAAATAAAAAATAAAATTTATCGTTGAAGACTATTAAGTTCTGGAAAGTGTTCCCAAGAAAAGCTGTGAGAGTTCATTCTCTTCTCATCTTTCATGGATGACATCCCAAACACATATATCTCAAATAGTTCTAAATTATGGAATTAGAGAATGGAGGAAGTACAGTGAGTCAGGGACATGTCATAAACCCTCCCCTAAATTCCATGAATAAAAACAGAACTATCCGAAAGGAAAAACATGTTTGGATTGATCCCATTATAAAAACAATATTCACTGGGTAGACAGATGGAGAGATGTGTAATAAAGCAAATATAGCATAATGTTAACATATAATCTAGAGAGTGAGTATGTGGGTGTGGGTGTTCATTGTTCTTTCCATTTTATGCATATTTGAAAGTTCTCATAATTTATAATATTGGAAAAAAGATAATAATATTAGAGAAAAAAGATAAAATTTACCTTCAACACGAATACATTTCCATGCCTGTGCTATTTGACGAGCTAATGCTGTTTTCCCAACGCCCTTAAAAAGAGAGACATTATTTAAAACCCAAAAGAACAGTCACCTGCCAGTGAAACAGATATACCCATTTTTTTTTTTTTTTTGAGTTGGAGTCTCACTCTGTCGCCCAGACTGGAGTGCAGTGGCCGCTCCCGGCCACCGCAGCCTTAACCTGCTGGGCTCCGGCGACCCTTCCTCCTCAGCTTTCCAAGTGGCCAGAATTACAGGCGCACGCTACCATGCCCGGCTAATTTTTTGATTTATTGTAGAGATGAGGTCTCGCCTGCCCAGGTGGGTCTCGAACCCGCGGGCTCAGGAATCCACTCACCTCAGCCTCCCAAAGGCGCGGGATTACAGGTTGAGCCACCGAGCCTGGCTAGATATACTCATTTTTAAAGGTTCTATTGATTGTTACTATTACATTAATGTTATAAATTTTTCCCATGAAAATGAAGAGTAGAACCCAGGTATTTATAGCTTCATTTTTCTCTACTAATTCTTGCATATGCCACATCTTCTGAAGTGATTTAAATACAATTTTTAAATTAAGAAAATAGACCCTGAAACAGGAAGCTACACAATTATGATAGTGCACTTTTTTGATTGTCAAATTTGTAATTTTGATTACAAATCATTGTGATTTTATTGAGACTCATCATTTTATTTTCTTCCTAAAGTTGGTAATTATGGATGCTTTGACAGCCTTCCATTTAGTAATTTTGAAGAGAAAAAAATCCTTCCTAACTGATATCTTTGGAAAGTATCATATTTTAAAGATAAAAAGTATCTTTCACGAAGTAACATTTGCATCTGGTTGCTTTCACTGTTGACTTTTAAAACCCCATTATGTTTTTAGAAACACAGAGAAAGTCATTACAACCATTTCCTGGTCCCTGTCCCAGAGTACATATGTAATTCCGTCAAGGATACAATCTGGTCCTTCATCTCTGCTGTTCTGGAGAGGCTCTTTAATTCACCAGCTCAGATCTTCTACTGGTGTTTGTTTGCTTTTTATGTATTATTTGTGTCAAAAATATTATAAACCTATTGCAGTACAGTACTATATAGCCGATTGTGTTAGTTGGGTAACAAGGCTACCTTTGTTGGACTTAGTTACTGGTAACTACCAATTTGCTCAGTGGTTGACTTTCATGCTTATCTAGAGAACCTTACTAGAACTGTCTAGAAAGGCAAACTATACAGTAAGTCCCCTACATACGAATGAGTTCCGTTCTGAGAACATGTTCATACGTTCAATTTGCTTTAAGTCCAACAAAGGTAGCCTAGTTACCCAACTAACACAATTGGTTATATAGTACTGTACTGCAATAGGTTTATAATATTTTTCACACAAATAATACATAAAAAGCAAACACAAAAAATAAATAAAACATTTAAAATCTTATAGTACTGTCCTTGAAAAACACAGTAGTACAGTCTAGTACAATAGCTGGCATTCAGGGGCTGGCACTGAGTGAACAGGCAAGAAGAGTTACTGACTGGAGGAGGGAGAGGAGGTGCGAGATGGTAGAGCTGAAGGACGGTCAGTATAGGAGATGGGGGGGCAAGATGAATGTGACTAGACATGAGAATGCACGTTTGTATCTTTGAAAGTTCACAACTTGAAGGTTTGGGTATAGGGGACTTACTGTATTACAACGGCCATTTTGCTTTCTTCCTGTTTTTTGGAAAGACAATACGTGAGTCCTCTAACACACTGTAGGCAGAGGCTGAGGTACAGTGCCTCTCAGTGTCTTCAGAGAGTAATGGGAGAACCTCCTAGTCCATCTCAATCGTGTCCTACCTTCACATATCCAGAAAGCCTCATGAAAAATTTTAAGTCAAGTCTGATATACAAGTCAGGGCTGAAATAACCTTGGATCTCACACTACTAACAATTATCATGTGCAGTATTTTGATGAGTTAATTTCCTTATAATTCAAAAAACACACAAATGTACATACACTCTAGGTCCCTTCTCAATTACAGTACATAAGAAGAAAGGTATGAATGTATAGCAATAGTATATCTGATTTTAAGTCATACAATGAAATTTTATCAGACACTCAGAAGGTTCCATAATATGTGGTTTTCATTCTTGTATGGTAACTTAAAAAATTGTAATTTAAAAAATAAAAACATTACACTAAATAACAAGCTAGAAGAGATAACTTACTGGTTTTCCAAATACAACAAAGCAAGCAGGTTTGGACAATAAAAAATTTTTTTCAGTTTCATCTTCATCAAATATATCCACAAAAGGATGCTCTTTGATTACCTCTTGAGAAGTCATAATAAAAAATACTACAATAAAAAAGAGTCAGATTGTTAAAGTGCCTAGTTTGGTTGGAACAAGCAAGTTAGGAACAGCTGAAATATCCTATGAACTTACTTAACCCAAAAGCTATTCCATACCACTAAACACACACATTTTGTCAGCAATTTCAAATAAATTAATCTATTAAAACAATAATAATATGGTCTTAGTTTGAGACAAAACCAAAATCCAACTAGAGGCTATATAAAAGGTTCAAACAAAGTGTTTCTGAAAGACTAAATTAAGAAAACAATAAACATATTTGTATAAATACACATATACATTACTATGTGTTTCTATATTAAAAATCAAATTAAAGTGAAATATGTTATACACACACTTTACCAGAAATAGAAAAAGTAATGTTAGCTAAATTTATTAGATTAATATTTTCATATTTTAGGAAACTTTGGTTGATTCCATAAATAAAACTTTCCTAAGAGAAATGTAATATTTGCATTTTTTTCACTCTCTAATATTTTATAGATGTCTGTAAGGATATATATTTATCTTAAAATTATTTTTAGAAACAATTTTCTATTTTGAGCTATTAAGTGAATTTTTAGGCACAGAACTCCAATTTTAAACATTAAACAGTTTTCAACTTAGTTTAACTCTTTTAGAGTCAATCAGAAACAAATCAGATCATAATTTTTTATGTTTGGATTTGTACAAAGAACATGTCTTCTTTTCAAGCACTTGTACACAGGATTCTTCTATATTATTTCTTACAACTGCATGTAAATCTACAAAGATCTCAAGATGAAAAGTCTAACAAAAAAAATTATCTAGCATTCAAAGTTTAATGTGCTCAGTGAAACAGAAGCTTGAAAATATAAACACGGTAAAAAAAAACAAAAACAAAAACAAAACAACTACATGAACATTGACATAAGCAGAATTTCTTAAAAATCTAAGTAGATGTATATCAATGAAAAATAGAAAGCTGAATTAAAAAAAAGCCAGCCAGTACATAAACAACAGATATAGCTGAGGAGAGAATAAATTAACTGGAAGTCAGATGTTGTAAAGTTACCCAGAATGAAGTAGAAGGACCAAAAGTAAAAACAAAAACAAAAACAAAACACTAAAGAGAGACTGAGAAACATAGTTAATACCAATCTCAGGTTAAAAAAAGGAGAGACACAAAAGAGACATTTTAAAAATGGAACAAATGAAAGTAAAATAAGATGGTAGAAATAAATTCAAATAGACCAGATCAGTTATATCAATAGCTCTAGTTAAAAAACAAATTTTGGCAGACCAAATTTTAAAAATAAAGATCTTTTTACAGATATGTTTTCCTGACTCCTGTGGTTACATCACAGTCAGGTCCTGCTGCTCTTTAGGTGAGTAATACCTTTCTTCCTGTTACCAGAGACTCCTCAGTTGGGCTGGGCTGATGTTCTCTCTCAGTTATTTCCCTACAAGTTATGAGGGAAGGGGAGGGCAGATTTTATGGAGGGCAAGCATCATCTCATGAAGCATCTGCCCAAGAGAGGGGGAATACAGACTGGATAAAAGTTTATTGATATGTGGGCTCTCTCACGACTTGTGGTTTAACATCCTGGATAGTCCTAACTCACTGCTGGTGAAATTTCTTGAAACTTGGAAAAAACATCAGCCTACCTTGGCAGAGTATGAGGAAGGTGCCAAAGCCTCACAGAGATGGCAAGTTAGAATGAATTTATTATGTGAGGACAGAGAACTCCTCAGCTGAGTCTGTTCTTTGGGATGGCCAGAAAACTCCCTTCATTAAGGCAATAAGAAGTGAACCAGTGGAGGGGGTCCTAGCATCATTGAGAAGCTCGAGGTGGATGCCCTTCGTAGGCCAGGGTTGAAGGTAGGGGAGTGATGATACTGTAATACTGAGTTTCCATGTGTCAGTGGGGATGTGTCAGATTCTGGAAGATGAGAGACCAGGTGCAAAGTAGACATAATTAGTATAATGGGAAGCAAGCCCAGACAACAACATGTAAGACCCACAGAGATCTGTGGCAATGGCTGACAGGCCATGGCATTCCTAGGGGTGAGACAGATGAGCAGTCAGTGAGAGTGTTAACTTATGTACCTCAAAAAGAGATAGAGCAGGAGAGCCAAACCTAATGTCAGTTCAGCAGTCACAGTGGGAAATCGTAAAGCCCGGCTCTGTTTTTAGCCCTAGAACCCATTTATCGAAGGGGAGATGAGAAGCCTTACAGAATGGACCCTGACTTGGTTCTCACTGGACTCTGCGGCTTAACTGTCCTGTGAGTTTGTCTCTCTGGACACTTGTCTCTCTGGGCCTCGGTTCCTCTGCTATAAAGTGAGGGATGGGGGCAGGTCCCTTCAGTTGGTTCTGTCATGCGAGTATTCTATGTCTGGCCAAGATGGGGAAGATCCAGGATGTATATTTCAGGGGAATGACTGCTGAGAACATCCTTGGTTAGTCATGTCTCAAGAGTCTCAGACCAGCAACCATTCTTTTTTTTTTTTTTTTTTGAGTTGGAGTCTCACTCTGTCGCCCAGACTGGAGTGCAGTGGCTGCTCCCGGCCACCGCAGCCTCGACCTGCTGGGACCTGGCGATCCTTCCGCCTCAGCTTTCCGAGTAGCCGGAATTACAGGCATGCACTACCACGCCCGGCTGATTTTTTGATTTATTGTAGAGATGAGGTCTCGCCGCCCAGGCAGGTCTCGAACCCGCGGGCTCAGGCAATCCACTCACCTCAGCCTCCCAAAGGCGCGGGATTACAGGCTGAGCCACCGAGCCTGTCTGACCAGCAACCTTTCTATGCTACTGTCCTGAGAGTCTTTTCCCGAAAGTCAGAAGGGACTCAGCCTGGCTCTGCATATTATACAATAACTTCAGTAGAAGTGGCCTACCAACTGAGCAAAGGGAAAAATCCAACAAATATTCTCAAACCATTTGAATTTCTTGTCCAAACTTTTACATTCCAAAGAACTTAAAACCTACTTCACGTGGCTGGGATTCAGCCCAGGCTTGTGAATTTCTATTCCGATGAGCTGGCATCACAGTGTGATATACAGGCCTTGATAGAAAGCATCCAGGTTCACCACTGCCTAAGCCTCTGCTTCCCTCTCTCCGACTTGGCCATAATCAACTGAGAATAATAGTGTAAAAGGGTTCCCCGCAAAATAAACAATTATTCCCAGAACAGTGATTGACCACATCTTGCTTTCTCTGTTGATTTTAGTGATTCTTAGTGGTTTTTAAAACTGTCATGTTTTCAAATAACTCAGTAGAGTTGAGTAACTAATAACATAACCCATAACAAAAGCAGTAAAAAAATGTTGACATAAGAAATGACAACAATAAAAACATAATGGGGAAAAAAAGGAATGGACCCTGGAACACTATAACAGGTATTTACAAGAACAATTTATCAATCCTTCTCTCAGGGAAGCTATTAACTATTAACTGGAGAAATGTACACTGTAAAAACTGGAGTACTCTTCTTTCAAGGGCTGTGGGACACAGGGCCACAGCTATTAATGTCTTGATTCAAGTATATCTTACAGGCTGGGTATGGTGGCTCACACCTGTAATCCTAAAGTGGACAGACGCAACAGGGGCAGCAGCCATCCATTGAAGGGTAAAATGGAACATTAGGATGAAGCCCAGACACGTCCAGAGGGGACGGATGTTTTATAAATAATCAGCCCAGACCCCATGCCATCTCACTTTTGTGCACCAATGTCTCTTTCGGTTCATAACTCATGTGAGATTTCCTAAGAACAGCTGACAGAAAATGAAAGCAAAATTTATGGATGAATCAGAACATATCCGTACAGGCTATACATGGAATGCATTCAGACTTTAATCCACTCACAGGTATCCCTGAAAAATGGTGATTAGGGTAAATCTTCCTGGCAGACAGAGCTTTAAGCAGTATTCCTAGGCCCTCGATTTGGAGGACAATGTTGGATGGCTTCATAAGGGCCTAGAAGGAGCAAAATCAGATGAGAAGAGTTCTGGGAAGAAGTATGTGGCTGGGCCTATGAGAGTGGTGTGGCAAACACATCCAGGGGAGACCTTCAATGAGTCACACTCTTGTATAATCCTCATCCCCTGAGTGCAGGTGAGATCTGTGACTTGCTTCTGAATATAGCAAATGTGATCGAGAGTCACTCCCATGATTATATTACATTGTTTAAGGATCCCCCTTAGCAGACTGGAGACAGATTTCCTGTTGGCTTGGAAGAAGCAAACTACTGTGTTGTGAGAGGACCACACAGTTAGGAACAGCAGCTGACCCCCAGGATCTGAGGGCAGCCCTGTCAACATCCAGTAAGAAAACAGGGACTTCTGTCCTACAACCACAAAGGGATGACTTTTGTCAAGGATGGGAATGAACTTGGGAGTGGATTCTTCCCCAGGTGAGTCCTCATGAAAGCACAGCTCAGCCACATGCAGCCTTGTGAAACCCCAAGCAGAGTACCCAGCTGAGCTATGCCAGGACTCCTGGTTGTAAAATAATTACAGACCTTGGGTTGATTGAGGTAATGGATTCTGCTTGTCCCATTCATCTTCTCTTTGTAAGTGCTTTTCTTTTAGAAAAGGAGTCTGGCCATTACCTTCAAGAATCAGGGACAGAATCATGTGAACTTAATGTGGGGAAGGAGTGGATATGAGTGCTGCAAAGGGCGCAGATGCCATCAGCATCCTGCTTATATCCACTGACAGGTACCTCTTCTGTGCCTGGCCACCCAACTCCAAAGGCCAGCCCATGTGTGACTCTGCCCTCCACCTGCCAGAACCCACTCTCCTTGAGCATCAGACTGACTGGGAGTTCTAGGGATGCAATGTTCTGCCGTAGCAGGCTTCATCCAACAGCTGATGGGAGTTGGTGTACCTCAGCTGACTTGCCCTTCGAGAGGTGATAACTCTAGGACATGCACCCCAACATTCCCTAGGGAATTCAGCTCATGGAGAAACATTCTTGGTACTATTCCTTCTGTTAGTTTCCTTCCCCTCCCTGCTACTGTTTCCTGGGATTATTTCCTGTGTAAACTGATTGTCTCAGGATCTGCTTCTGGGTGTAATAAAATAAGACAAGGTTCAAATGGAAATGCTTAATATAATGTAATATAATAATTTAAAACTCAGTAGTTGAAAACCAGAATTCTACAAATATTTAAGAGCTGTTATCCAAAAACAACACCCCCCAAAATAACTGTGCAAATATTTAACTCATATTCAGAAGAGTTGTTTTCCATTATTAAACGGAACAGAGCTAAGTATTTTTCTCAGGTCCAAGTCCTTACAAAATGCCAGAACTGCCATGGCCATCTTCCTAGTTTTACTTAATAAAAGGAGTACCAAACTGTGGGAAAAACAATTTGAAATAATATGTGATTAAATATATTTTTAAAATGTTGTGACTTCTTCATTGTAAATTTACAACACAGTCTTTAAGTTCACGTGCTGTAATGTGTTTATGTTATAATTCCACACAATTTAAAAAAGTCTAACGACACTTTTGGCTGTTGAGAAACCCTCTAGCGGTGAATTCTGAGGCCTAGAGGGGTCACATCTCCCGGGAAACCCAGCACTTCCGTCGAGGCTGGGTTAAGGGCCAGTCCGGTACGTCTTAAACCCTCCTAGTAGGTGTTCAGTAAATATTTGTGGAACAAATACATTCGTCATTGAAAGAAGTGGTTTCAAAACGGCAAAGAGATCCCGAAGTTTAGTTTTGCAAGAAAAGGCACTGGTCTGGGGACCCCGCAGGTTGCGGCTCAGTGCAACCGATCTCAAAATGCATCCTGCGGTGGACAGGTACCTCCCCGGCCCCGGGGAAAAGGCGACTTACCTGGTCGCAGCGCCTGTGCCGCTGCAGCAGCCAACCGAGGCTCCGCGGGGCTGTTGAGCGGTTGCCACGGAAACCCCTGGAGGCTGCACGCGGGGCCTCTAGCAGGGCGGGGCCTCGGGAGGCGGGGCTGTCAGTCATTGTACTTTTAAAATTCGAAATTGTCACCTTTGTACCCTACCTTTGTATTGATAATTATAATACACTCCTTATCAATAAATCTGGGAGAGAGAATATACACCCTTTTAGGATCACACACGAAATGGAAGAAACCTTATTTGAACACCGAAGGGACTCCAAAGCCAGTCGGGGACTCTACACTACACTGGGTAGTCCATTTTTAGGATTTACAGGTGATTAGCCTCAGCCATCAATATGTGGCAAAGTCCAAAATGTCTATCTTTAGTCGATTGAAAGAATTATTTGGACCACACATCCTCGATACAATGTGGATTGTGCTGACTCTCATAAGGATAAAATAGGCCACAAAGAGAGGTAAGGGGACAACACCGATCCTTAGGAAAGGACCATCAGGTAGCGGGTTTCCAGGGAAAGAGGAACAGACGCAGGCAGGGAAAAAGCAGACCAGCTTGGGAAGGGCTCTACCCTGCAACTTGGAGAACCCGCTTCAAAATAGCCATCCAATCTTAAATCTTTTTTTTTTTCCCTCCCAAAGAGAAGGAGGAGCGAAACGAGAGACTCAACTTAAACAGATAATAAGTTGGGGGAGGGAGGGACGCAATTACTCCGTAGTTTATAAAAAGGTAATAAGTTAGAAAAAGAAAGACTCAATTACTCCGGCGACTTTTTCTCCGCCCACTGTTTCTCGTGCCCTTACCAAAGATGGCGCCCTTTGCTTCCACCCCACCCCCACCCCCACCCCAGAAGCGCGCAGGCGCCGGGAGCCTCGCCGTGTCCTCTCCGTGGGACGTGCTCCAGCCCCGCTCGCGCCGTGCCTGGGGCGGGGCTTGCTGGAGGCGGGGCGCACAGATGCGGAAACACCTGAAGCGTAGCCGATCATCCGTCGCTTTAGTGCCCTGGCGGCGTCTTTCCTGACTGGGCCTGGTGTCCGGGGTCTGGGGCGTTTTCTCCCCGGGCCTCCGGCGCTCGCTGGCGACTGGAGCCCGAACGCCGACCCCCATTTGCCCGCGCCATGCCCACGGCCGCCGCCCCCATCATCAGCTCGGTGCAGAAGCTGGTCCTTTATGAGACCCGAGCTGTGAGTACTCGGCGCGGCGGCAGTGCACGTGGGCCGGGTGGGTGTGGGGCCTGGGACGGGAGCTGCACCCCGCCTCCCTCGCCTGCCTCCCTGGTTCCCAAATCCCTGCCAAACACAGCCTTGGGGGAAACTGGCCCTCCTGGGCAGAGACGGCGAGGGGGCGGGGGGCGGTCGAGTGGGGTCCCACCCGGCTTTCACACCCCGAGCACTGCTGCGTATTTGCACTTGCAAGCCATGGCTGGATCACACTGGAAACAAGTGCTTGTCGTGCCTCAGAGACTGTTCGTGAGGGTCTGGATTCTTTTCGGCTTTCAGAAAGGCTTAAAGTTCCAGAGCGTACAAGTTCAGTACAAGCAGGGAGGGGTATGAAAAAAATTTGACATGTGACTCGGTGACTTTTCTTTTTTCCTGTTCCATGGTATGCTATCACTGTGATTGATGTGAATTACGCATATTTTTATTGCTGAATCTCTAGGTTCTCTTTTTTTCTTATTTCAAAGAAAAGAAAAAACTTGTTTAAAAACAGCTAATTTGTTTGGATAACATTACCTTGTCTTTCATTTGACTTTTTAAAAAAATATAATTTTGTTACTTCGAATGGCCATGTATCTAACCCTAGATCAGTTTTTATGTATTCAGATTACTAGTTCCCAATGAAGAGAATGATGTTTATAGAACTTCATACTTTGTTGTTTCTGTGATTGAAAAGCAAAGTCGAGACAATAATAACTTCTAAATCGGGGTGCCACAGTGATATTACGGTCTGTGTTTACTATTATTGAATCCTATTCATGGTAACAAGGTTGCATATGCTGGATACTTGCATAATACAGTTCACCATGCTATACAGTGTCTTGTAAGCTTGTTCAGTGAAACTTGGCTTGTCTCCATTAGAGGAGAAGATACTTAACAGTTTCTCAGTTATAACATAGTCCTAACAGCATGTCTGCCTCAGGTTATCAAGAGTATAGAATCACTGTTGACTTTAAATTAATTTTGCTGACTTCATTTGAATAGATCCAGACCAGAAGATTAAATTATCTAATCTACTGTATTTGCAAGTATCTTCAGTTCTCTAAAGAGAGCCATAGAGAAGCATCATTTGATATCAATTGATATCATTTGATATTGAAATGAAACCTACTTTCTGTGAAATGTGCTGGTAAATGTCCCTAGTTGGAAACATAAATAACCTAAAATACAGACATTAATAAGCTAAACATTCATGAGGCCTAGCTGAGATGCTCGTGTTCAAAAAGGTTGATTCATATTCTAGGGTTCTTCTGCTCAGAAACTTTCATTGTCCCCCATTCTGAGGAGAGTAAACTGGACTCCTTTAGTTCAGCATTCAAAGCCGTATGTAATTTGTCCTCAACTTCTCTTCCTAGTCATTAATTTAATTTAATATCAATTCATGAAACATTTATTGAGGATCAACGATATACCTTCATGTACCTTATTTTGCAGTAAAATTGTATTGCTCTCAGTTTCCTATATCTACCCTGTGTTTTTCTTCTGTTTACTGTTCTTATAATGTCCCACCCCTTCTTTTCCTGTCAAAACCTTGTAAGCTCTTTCACTGTTGTGGTCTTCACAGCACAGATCCGATCCATGTCTTACAAACAGTAGACTCTCAATAGATGCTGATTAAGGAATCTAACATTAAGAGATGTGTGTTCCAGAACTCAGCTGTGGTGGCTCTCGACCACCTAAGTGATGGAAACAAACTCTGGCCAGCTTAGAGATGGAAGGTAAATTGATCAGAATGATGCTGGGGAGCCATGGCATGGACTTATTAGAGGATGTTAACTCTCCAGCCTCTGGAAAAGCAGAAAGAAGATAGCAGGCTTGAGAATTCCCTGGGAGTGTTACCAAAAACAGCATAGATGGAGGTGGGGTGGGGGGGTAGGCAAGAATCTGATTGGATGACTTCCCCTGGGTAGACACATCACCATGGCCAGAAAGGGTCTGGCAGTAATAAAGTGTCTGTGGAACCACCTTTTCTATTTCAAGGGATGGTAGAGCTGGGTAACCCTCCTGAGAAGTATCTGCTGAATTGAATCACTGAACCTCAGTTCTGTTATCAGTGAAGAAGATAATCCTTTTTGAATATTTTCAATTTTAAAAAGTTATAAGCAGGGAGCTTTTTTTTTTTTTTTTTAAATAAATACCTCAAAGTTTAAGGGACATAACTCAGAAAAAGGCATACAATTACTGACAACTAAGTAAATCCTAGGAATTTAAAAAAAAACCGGTAATAGATTGTAATGGTGAGAATAATAGCTAATACATAGGGAGCACTTCCATGCTAGGCACTGTTCAAAGTACTCTATTTTATGGTTTAATTCTAATGAAACCTCTAAGAGGTCAGTGCTATTACTATTGGTCTCCTACTTTGTTATTATTATTTGGCGAAGAAAAAAGTGAGGCAAAGAGAGTTTAGGACAGTGCAACTTGAAGTGTGGTCCAGGCATTAAGAACATGCACTGAGGGACAGGCCACCTCTTTAATAAATGGTGCTGGAAAAACTGAATGTTCATGTGCAGAAGAATGAGACGGGACCACCCTCTCACACATATAAAAAATCAGCTCAAAATGGATTAAGGACGTAAATGTAAGACCCAAAAACTAACAGAAGAAAACATAGGGGAAACTCTTCAAGGTATTGGTCCAGGCTAATGTTTTATGGGTACAACTTTAAAAGCACAGTCAACAAAAGTAAAAATAGATAAATGCGACTATATCAAGCCAAAAAACTGCACAGCAAAGGAAACAGTCAATAGAATGAAGAAATAACCTGTAGCATAGAGAAAATATTTGCAAACTATTCATCAAACAAGGGACTAATGTCCAGAGTATATAAGGAAGTTAAACAACTCAACAGCAAAAAGCACCACATAGTGAAATTTTAAAATGGGCTTAAGATCTGAATGGACATTTCTCTAAAGAAGTCATACAAATGACAACAGGGATATGAAACAGTGCTCAGCATCTATCATCAGGAAAGTACAAATGAAAACCATAGTGAGATACCATTTTACCCCAGTGAAAATGCCTACTGTCAAAAAGACAAAAAGTAACAAATGCTGGTGAGGATATGGAGAAGAGGGAACTCCTACACTGTTGGTGGGAATGTAAATTAATAGAACCATTGTGGAGAACAGAATGGAGGTTCCTCAAAAAACTAAAAATAGGCTGGGTGTGGTGGCTCATGCCTGTAATTCCAGCACTTTGGGAGGCCAAGACGAGAGAATTTCTTGAGTCCAGGGACTTGAGACCAGCCTGGGCAACGTGGTGAGATCTTGTCTGTAGAACAAATCAAAAAAATTAGCCAGGCGTGGTGGCGCACACTTGTGGTTCCAGCTACTTGGAAGGCTGAGGCAGAAGGATTGCCTGAGACCAGCAGCTTGAGGCTATGGTGGCTGTGAGTATGCCACTGCACTCCAGCCTGGGCGACAGAGTGAGATTGACTCAAACAAACAAAAACAAAAAACACCCCAAAACCAAAAACCCGTAAATGGAACGACTATATGATCCAGCAGTCCTGTTACTGGGTATATATGTGAGGGTCTTCAAATGGAAAAATTGAATTAAAAGATAAAAATAGGTCAGGCATAGTTACTCATGCCTGTAATCCCATTTGGGAGGTTGAAGTGGGAGGATCGTTTTAGGCCAGGAGTTGAGACCAGTCTGGGCAACATAGTGAGAACCCCATCTCTACAAAACAAAAACAAAAACAAAACAACAACAAAAGCAAACCCCAAAACACAGAAATTAGCCAGGCATGGTGGCACATGCCTGTAGCCTTAGCTGAGGTGGGAGGATTGTTTGAGCCCAGGAGTTTGAAGTGTCAGCTATGATCACACCTCTGTACTCTAGCCTTGGTGACAGAGTGAAATCCTGTCCTCCCCCCATGACACTTTCATAAATGATGATACCAGCCATTTATTGAGGGTTCTGAAAATTTAACCATGTCAACACACTCTGTTTTGAATTATTCACTAAAGAAAAACGAGTGCTTTTTATAGAATGTGTAAGATTAGGAGACAAAAAGAAGTTAGAGGGAGCCAAATCAGGACTGTCAGGTGGATGCTGAGTGACTCCCCATCAAAACTCTCACAAAATTCCCCTTGCGTAATGAGAGAATGTAAGGAGCATTGTCCTGGTGGAGAAGGACTCTCTGGAGAAGACTTCCCCGGTGTTTTTCTGCAAAAGCCTTGGCTAACTTTCTCAAAACACACATAATAAGCAGATGTTGTCGTTCTTTGGCCCTCCAGAAAGTCAGCAATCAGGATGCCTTGATCATCCCCAAAACATTGCTGCCATGAGCTTTACTCCTGATCAGTCTTTTGGTAGCCATTGCTTTGACTGTGCTTTGTCTTCAGGGTCACGCTGGTGAAGCCTTGCTTCCTCTCTTGGAGGAAATTTCTTTGAAGAAATGCTTCAGAATCTTAAGCCCACATGTTTAGAATTTCCATGGGAAGCTCTGCTTGTGTCTGCAGCTGATCTGGGTGCAATGATTTCAGCACCCACTGAGTAGAAAGTTTGCTTGCCTTGAATTTTCTGCCAGAATTGTGTAAGCTGAACCAATTGAGATATCCATAGTGTTGGCTATTGCTTCTGCTGTTCATCTCAGTCCTC